TTGTTGTCAGACTTCCGTACAGTTCAATTTTCTGCATTTTGGTTGCATTTTTGTTACTAAAACTTTGTTGTCTTTAAACTTGGTTGTGCGAGGAGGCACAATGTTTCCACCTTGCCGCGGACCAGCCTCGCCAGGAGAGGGGAGGGGGTGGAAATGAGTCAAGGACGCAGGGAGTCAGGTTGGAGAGGTCTCAGCATCCCGCTGAGCCCCGAACTCCGTTTATTCAAGGCTTTTATTACAATTATGGGGAATAAGCAGGAGGGGGCCGCACCCAAGCCAGTTTCTTTGTCCTTTCTGCAAAGCTACTCCACGGAACAACAGGGGAACACAGGGTGCTATCAAAACTTCCCTGTTTTTCAAGCACAGGTGCATGACCTACCCTTCTACAGGGAAACAGGCTGTCTAGCTTATGCTAATAAGTTCTTGGGAAACCTATTGTCTACCCACAGCAGGTTCTAGGCAGGGAGCCAAGCAAGGTGGAGAGGAACTGTGCCACGGGCAGCGGCCTTGCCAGCTGGCCCTGGCCCCCCGGCTTTGCCAAGGGGGGCTTGCGGCGCGTCTCCACGAGCAGTGGCTATGCCGGCTGGTCCTGGCCCCCTGGCTTTGCCATGGGGGGCTAGTGGCGCCCACACCACCTACACCTCCATCTTGGCCGAAGTCTCCTACTTGTCTTAAATTGTCACATTTGAAGAATGGCAGCAGCCCTGGCAGGGTGGGTCAGTTGGTTGGAGCATCCTCCCATAAACCGAAAGGTCACAGGTTCGGTTCCCGGTCAGGGCACATGCCTGGTTGTGTGTTCCATCCCTGATCAGGGTGCACACAGGCAGTGGTTGAATGATGTTTCTTTCTTCCTTCCCCTCTCTCTGGAGTCAATGGGTATAAGATTTTAAGATTTTATTTATTTTTAGATGGTAAGTGTGGGGGGGAAACATCAACATGTGGTTGCCTCTCGCACACACCCCACTGGGGACCTGGCCCACAGCCCTGGCTCCCAAAGAGGCCCAGACTGGGAATCGAACCTGCGGCCCTTTGGTTGACTGAGTTTCCAATTTGGAACCTGAGTTTCAGACCCCTGTGTGCGACAGGAGGTGGAGGAGGCGGGGGATAGTGGAGGCTGCAGAGAGGCTGCCCCGGGCTGGGGTGCCGGCGAGGGCGCTGTGCGTGGTGTGGGTGTGGGCAGGGCCAGGTTGCCCAAGAGGCTGCAGCGGAGGAGATAAGAGCAACATCAACGTCTGCAGCAAAGGAGAACCAGCAGGACATCTGGGAGGAGGAGAGAAAACCCAAAAGCTGAGAGGCGAGGCCGTCAGCCATTTCAGATGCAGGAGAGAGGCCACGTAAGAGAAGGACACCTGCGGGACAGGGGTCCTGGGCACAGCCAGTCCTCAGCAAGCAGGTGGTGGGGAAGCCTCGGTGGGACGACAAATGGTGGGGCCTGAGGGGTGACTAGTGACGACGGACAGGAGGTAGCCTGCCTTCAGGCCGGACTGCTGGGGCGCTGGGGAGCTTGTCTCCAGGCACCGGAGGAGATCCGCCACTGCGAGAGAGAGGCCTGGTGTGCGGGGAAGAACCGCTCACTGATGCCGCGGGGTCTCGGTTGAGGCTGAGAAACCCAGCGCTTCTGGGAATCCGTGTGACCGCAGGAGCAGGCCCCGGGCCTTGGGCGAGAGGGCTCTGCGCGCTGACACAGACCTGGCGAAGCTGTGCTCTGTTTCACTTGTTGTCTCACTGGTGCTACCGCCTTTGAGACTTTTGCAAGCTACCTGGACGTAGTTATAAGCTCCGGTATTTGCTATGGGAACTTATCTAGTCCTTTCCCCATTAGCCTTCTCAGTAAACCAGTGTGACTTGAGGCTGGCTGGGTTGGTGGAGTGCGAGATGGTCTCTCTTCTCTGAGAAAGTGTCACGGATTATGAACGCATTGGTTAAAGGCAACTTCATATTCAACTTAATAGTGTTTTGGGATCACAGTACACCATTTATTTAAATATAATGAGGAGAGTCCTGGCTGGTGTGGCTCCGTGGATTGAGTACTGGTCTGCAAACCAAAGGTCATTCGTTTGATTCCCAGTCAGGGCACATGCCTGGGTTGTGGGCCAGCTCCCCAGTTAGGGGTGTGCAAGAGGGAACCGATCAATGTATCTCTCACACGTTGATGTTTCTCTCCCTCTCTTCCCCTCTCTCTAAAAAATAAATAAATAAAATCTTTAAAAATGATGAGGGGAGAGAAGACCTTTATGAGTGGAGTTTGCCAAGTGTCTTCCTTTGGAGAAGGCTTCCTTTCCTGATTGGATCTTTTTTCACAGTATTTCTTAATTGTTTATTTATCAAAAGAAACAATTCCTTAGCTCAGTTACTCATGTTTCATAGTTCAGGGTCATGGGGTCGGTGACAAACTTGCACAGAACTCACCCTCAGCAAATTCTTCACCTTCCCAAATCATTTGCCTTCTGAGGTGTCAGCCTTCCTCATGTCCTCAGAGTATGTCACGGAATCGTCATTTCGGTAGAAATCCGCGTATGCCGTCTTGGTTCAGCCGAGACGCAAACTCACAGAAAGCTGCGTGCAACCCCGGGGATGCCGTGATCGCTCCGACATTGGGAAGTGTGTGCTTGGCCAGAGGACCACACGGCTGAGGTGCCGTCAAAGCACCGGAAGGCATGCTAGTTGTATTCGCCTTAACTCTGGCCACCATCCTTCCTGTCGGACAAATGGCCAGCCTCTCACTGGACTTGTAAAAATGTCTTTTCACAACCGTGTGTGGTTGAGGCTGGATCCCGGGGCATGCTGTGAGGGCTCTGGGGCTCGCCTGGGGGAGTACAGTTAGTTTTGATGGAGTCCTGCCCTTCCCGCCTGCGCCTCTGGATTCTCCAGTGTGTGTGACTGTCCGGCTGAAAGGAGAGGCCACTGGTCTGCGCCAGGCACTGCCAGCTGCCTACCTCCCAGAGAGATGTGTGGATGTGAGAGAAGGGAAAGTTTTATTTTATTTTATCTTTTTTAAGTATATTTATTGATTATGCTATTACAGTTGTTGCATTTTTTCCACCTTTATTCTCCTCTGCCCTGCACACTTTTCCCACCTGCTTTCCCTGCCCCCTCTTAGTTCACATCCATGGGTTGTACATATAAATAAGGTCTTTGGCTTCTACATTTCCTGTACTATTCTTAATATCCCCCTGTCTATTTTGTAACTATCATTTATGCTTCTTATTCTCTGTACCTTTTCCCCCATTCTCTCCTGTCCCCCTCCCTGCTGATAACCCTCCATGTGATCTCCATTTCTATGTTCCTATTAGAACAGGAACAGAATCATAGAAACTTAACAAACTAAGTTGTTTGCTTAGTTTGTTTTCGTTTTTGCTTTTTTTAGGTTCAGTTGTTGATAGTTGTGAGTTTGTTATCTTTTTACTCTTCCTAGTTTTGATCTTATTCTTTTTCTTAGATAAGTCCCTTTCACATTTCATATAATAAGGGCTTGGTGATGATGAGCTCCTTTAACTTGACATTATCTGGGAAGCACTTTATCTGCCCTTCCATTCTAAATGAAAGCTTTGCTGGGTAGAGTAATCTTGGATGCAGGTCTTTGCCTTTCATGACTTGGAATATTTCTTTCCAGCCCCTTCTTGCCAGTAAGGTTTATTTTGAGAAATCAGCTGACAGTCTGATGGGAACTCCTTGTAGGTAATTGTTTCTTGTTGCGTCCCTGTTCCAGGGCACCAGATGTTGCAGACCCTGTCCAGCAGAGTCCGCCTGTTGTGGTATACAAGAATCAATTCACAGGCGACAACAACCCTGTGTGGAAAAAGGGAACAGGCACGGCTACTCTCTCAAGGGGAGAGTGCCTATGGTGCCTCGGCCACTGCCTCAAGAGGGGAGCGCCCGACCCTTGCCTAGACAGGCTTTTATTGCTTTCTTGGGGTCTTACATCATAGGAAGATTTATTATCTATCACATAGAATATTATTGTCTACATTCTAGGTACAATCAAGGAAATAAAAATAACATGCAAAGGGGAATGACAATGAGCTGATTAGCTCTGTCCTTGGGAGAACTCACACAGGCTTTGGAAGTTACCTTGAGGATAAACAATATATATTTGTTGCTTTAGACCAGGGTGAGGGAGTTTTAGCAAGAGCAAGCCATAACAATCTGTATGCATTTTCTAGGCCCGATTCCCATGGGAAAACTTGGTTTGAAGGTCTGGCTCCTGCCCACCACTTCGCATCTGTAGGTTTTCCGTACAGAGCTGAGTCACATTTGCCAGGCCAAGACAAACCGGTCCCCTACAGTTTCCTTTTCTCTTGCTGCTTTTAAGATTCTTTCCTCTTTAATCTTGGGTAATGTAATGATGATATGCCTTGGTGTGTGCTTCCTTGAGTCCAACTTTTCCTTTGCCAGACTGGGGAAGTTCTCCTTCATTATTTTGGCTAATAAGTTTTCAATTTCCTGCTCTTCCTTGAATTGCTCTTCAATTTCTTGCACTCTCTTGCTCTAGAGAAGGGAAAGGTTTAAATGAAAGAAATTCACAGGTTTCAGAGGAAGCAGCGTCTGTATCTGCCTTGCTGCTGAGCTTAAGGTTTCACTTCCTTTGCTGTGTTGCTGTGAACGGCCACAGGCCCCGTAGCCACAGGAGTCTGGAAACCAGCTGTTCAGCACTGAAACACCATGATCAGTTGACTTTCTTTTGTGACGATAAGGAGTTGGGCAATAACTTTTACCGTCGGGATTCCTGGGGAGGGATGCTTAGTGGCGTAACTCACAGATGGAAACAGACATGGTGCCCAGCAGGAGCAAAGTTACTGTCCACACCGAGACCCGAGAGCCGCCCCATGCAGTGTACTGAGCTCTCAGCAGCCTGGCAGCACTGTTCACACCTGGCTAGCTTTTCCCTCCTCCAAAGTGGGAAGATCAGGCAGGGCGCCCGCAGGTGAGTTTGTGTGGGACCCTTGCACAGGAGAGGCTCGCTGAGGCCGAGCTGCTGACCGTGTCCCCTTGCCCCGCAGTTGCATCCGGTGATCAAAGCTTTCCTGTGCGGCTCCATCAGTGGCACCTGCTCTACCCTCCTCTTCCAGCCCCTGGATCTCCTCAAAACGCGCCTACAGACTCTCCAGCCCTCGGCCCCTGGGTAAGGCCTGCTGCCCCCGCCCCGTTTCCCTGAAGAACCAGTTTCAGTGGCTTCTCAGACACGGGAGCATCTGTCCTGTGCAAAGTCACTTCCTCGCCTACTGGGTACTCACAGGGAAACAGGCCAGGCCTGGCTCTCATGGGTTTCATGTATATAGTTTTTTTCTGTGAATACTTTTTACATTAATTAATATAATTTATTATTAATTAAATGGGGTCCTTCCCTGAGCAGCTTCCTGGGACCTGCCTCAGTGACATTTGCATTTTATTTGCCTGCCTGTAATGCTGGAACTGAGCAGCAGGTGTTGAGTGTCTTTTTTGTGTCCCCATATTGGGTTCAGCACTGGGGGAAGTGTGCAGTACCTGTAAGACAGAAGGCTGTAAAACAGAAGCGACCCCCTTGCATGCAGTGTGAATGAACAGGTAGACACATAGGTGTCGATCGTGACACAGAAGAACTCCGAGCTTCCAGCACGCATTGTAGAGATTCTGAAGGGCCCCAGGAAAGCGTCCACGCGGACAAGTCTTTGAGTGGGGAGCTCTCTTCTGAGCGGGGAGGTGGTCTGAGTGACTTTTCCTCCCCTGCCCCCATGCTGTCTTCTGCCCTCAGATCCGGACGCATCGGGATGTTGGCTCTGCTCCTGCAGGTGGTCCGCACCGAGAGCCTTCTGGGCCTTTGGAAAGGGATGTCCCCCGTAAGCTGCCCTTGGGATCTTCTCATGCAGCCTGTCCTTCATGACCAGCCATTTCTTACCTACCTCGCTATCCTCTCCTTTAAGCAAACGTGAGCTTTGGGGGCTGGTGGGAGGACCTCTGTGGTCTTCCTGCCTGCTGTTCCTGACCGTTGCGAAGTGCTGGGGACTGTGACCTCTGTGCATAACAAGGCCTCACTTCCTTGTGCAGCACAGTCCCCAGGGCAGATGCAGCTGCAACCGGCCGCTGCCGGCCAGCATACCCTTGCCCTTGCCCTCTGGTGGGGGAGGGCTGAGACCTCCACGGCAGCGTTTCTTCATCTGAAGGCTTTTTCTGGTCTTAGGAACTCACTTTGGAAGTGCCAGGGAATGAATGCTCACTCCAGTGAAAAGTGAGAGTTGATGTTTAGGCCTAGGCCTCCCTCGCCTCCCCACTGCAGCCCGCACGCCCAGAGTTCCCCTGAGCCCAGAGTGCCCCGGAGCGCGTGGGCTGCTGTAACTGATTAGAGGACACACCCTTTGTTGGCTGCCTTCCCTCTCTCCTACTGACGTTTCCTCCACACCTTAAATCAACTGCTTGCACGGAAACTGGGTCTTTGGGGGAAACCCAGTCAGGACAGTGTCTTACAGAGCGGGTCCTTCCTTCCTTTCCTCCTCCGACCACTCCCCACTGCAGTCCATCGTGCGGTGTGTCCCCGGCGTTGGGATCTACTTCAGCAGCCTGTACACTCTGAAGCAGTACTTCCTGCGAGGCCACCCCCCCACCGCCATGGAGTCGGTCATGCTGGGGGTGGGCTCTCGCTCAGTTGCAGGGGTCTGCATGTCACCCATCACTGTCATCAAGACGCGTTATGAGGTCAGTTGGGTTGCTTTAGGCCCTCAGGGTGGGGGACACAGGATCGGGGCTCTGCAGTCGGGTGGCTGCTGATGTCACTTCACCTCCCAGTTTATAAACTAACACGGAGTCGGTGTGGCCAGAGAGCCCATCCGTGCATGCGGTGCCCTGGTAGTGCCACCTGCCCCGAGGGGGCTGGTTCCGTGCGAGTCCCAGGCCCTGTGCTTCCTCTGCAGAGCGGGAGGTTCGGCTATGAGAGCATCTACGCAGCCCTGAGGAGCATCTACCGCAGCGAGGGCCCCCGGGGCCTCTTCAGTGGCCTGACAGCGACACTGCTTCGCGACGCACCCTTCTCTGGCATCTACCTAATGTTTTACACCCAGACCCAAAACGTCGTGTCCCAGGGTAGGGATAAAGGAAGGTGGGGTGGGGAAGAGGCCCGCCCAAAACGCCTTCCCACCACTTTCTCCGTGACCGTTGTGGTGGCCAGGAGACTGTCTGCTGCCCTTGGCAGCTCCAGGTCCTGAGCAGCGGTTTGGGAACTGAGCCTGCGCATTGTGGGAGGCGGGGCCGACTCCTCCCCCGGCGCAGCAGTGCGCTGGGAGGTGCGCACCCGACTTTGGGGTGTGGCAGACACGGTCCCTGCCCTTCATGTTTAGCCGCAGGAAAGGGATGGACCGTAAGTCTAGAGTGGGGAACGGGGTGGAGCGAAGCACCTTTACACGGGTCCTGTGAGCATACTTCCTAAATTTGCCTGACCTGAAGATTGCTGGGTCTGACCCGAGACCTCCTAAATCAGAAGGCTGGGGTGAGACCTGGGTATTTTTCAAGCTGCAATTGATGTGATTCATTTTTCAGACAAGTGTGGGAAACGCCAAATGGTTAGGAGCTGAAAGAAACGTATTCTCTTCACCTCCCTTGCTGTGTTCCCCATTGATGTGCTTTTGGGCCCTCCATTTGGGCGGAGGGAAAGGTGCCTGCCCCCGGGTATCCCGGCAGGCCCATCCTGCCAGGAGGCTCCTATTGGACAAGACCTGGGCAAACTCAGTGGGCGGTAAACATCCACCCAAGCAGAGCCAGGCAGTGATAGAAACATCCCGTAGAATGATCCTGCGTTCAATATGGTGTCTGTGGATGATCCGAGCAAAGAATCGCACCCGTCAGTGCACTGGGAAAGCGGGGGTGTCGGCATCATGACAGTGGTGAGGAGCCGCAGCGGGGGTGCTTGGGGAGATTCGCTTCTCCCCGGGCACCGGGAGGGGTGACATGCGGGTCACAGCCTCCTGTTACAGTGCAGAGTAAGGCAGTCAGGGAAACTTTTTATGTACATTTTTAACTTCTCAACCCGTCTTTGCAAGTGTTTTTAAATTTGGTGTTAGAGATCATTTGAAACTCACATAAACCCCACAAGGATAATACAAGTAACTTTGCAGCCCTTTATTATCCTCTTTCTGTGTGCACAGTGGCTTGTATTTTCAAATCACCGAAGAGTAACTGCAGGCATGGTGCTCCTTTACCCTTAAGCACCTCAGTGTGCATTCCCTAAGAACAAAGACATTTTTATGTAACCGTCTTACCAGATTCAGGAAATTTAACATAGGTACAGTTTTTAAATTTATTTTTAAAAGATTTTGTTTATTTATTTTTGAGAGAAGGAAAGAGAAGGAGAGAAGCATTGATGTGACAGAGAAACTGATTGGTTGCCTCTCTCGCATGCACCCTGACAGGGACGGAACCTGCAACCCAGGCGTGTGCCCTGACTGGGAATCGAATGGCGACCTTTGGCTTTGCTGGATGACGCCCAACCAACTGAGCCATGCGGGTCAGGCGCAACACAGATATAGTTCTTTAAAGTCCAATTATAATCTTAATTTCTGCAGTTGTTCCAGCAGGGTACTTGGTGGCAACTTTAATTTTTATTTCCCACAGTATAGACCAGTTTCATAATCTCAGCATAGGTTTTTCGGATGTTTCCTTGTAACTAGGTTCAGTTAGACATTTTTAGCAAAAGGACCTCACGAGTGATACTGTGTCCCCAGTGCTTTCCATCAGGAAGCTCATGACACCAGCTTGACCCACCGTGGGTGATGTTCACTTTTTATCACGTGGATGAGATCTCGTCTCCACTGAAAACTCAGTTACTCTTTCTTTTGTAATGTGTAAATATCTCTGTGGGGAGATACTCTGAACCCATATAAATCCATCTAAAACATCCTCCTTTCATCCATATGTTTGAGCTTGCCTGAGTCAGTTATTCTGTGATGGTAGTAAAGAGACGAAATGTTCACTCCACTGTCAGTTACCTTTATCAGTTATGCCTTTAACAATTTTAATTCTTAACCTTGTTTGAATCTAGACCCTTCTGGCTTTGGGGAAGCATTAGTGGACGACTTGGCATAAACACTTACCTGATGAATGTGCAGTTTATGCATCACTGAGTGTCACCTGTGTGCTGTTTCAGACCAGTTGGATGCAGCCCTTATTCCGGCTGTAAATTTCAGCCGTGGGATACTTGCTGGTGTTCTGGCCTCCCTGGTGACTCAGCCTGCAGATGTTATCAAAACTCACATGCAGCTGTCCCCGGCGAAATTTCAGTGGTTCGGCCAGGTGGTGACGGTCATCTTCAAGGTGAGGCGAGAGAATAAGTATGTGTTCTTACTGTGGTTAGGGCTCTCTCTCTAGAGTACAGGGTCCAGCACAGATAACACCCCCTTTTATTAAATAAAAAGCTTTTATTACAAAATCATAAGCATGTAATTCTGTAACATAACAATATCACACTCAAGCACACCATATAACATTGTAGGTAAAATGTTCAAATTGCTGTCCATCTTGTACGAGACGTTCGCGTACCCTGATGATGTTACTTCTCCTGGACCCTGTGGTAGTAACTCTTATCCTTTACACCAGAGAATCACCTGCAGGCTTTTAAAAATCCCCATTCCCAAGTCATGGCCTGGGCTGATTATATCAGAATCTCTGGAGGGTGATTCCCAGGTGTCAGTATTTTAAGTTCCTCGGTGGTTCCAGTGTGTTACCAAGGTTGAGAACCCACTGCTAAAAACCTACAGTTTTGGGGGGGAGGTGCCACAGTAGGACGACCTGTGATATTTGTGAAGGGTTCTACCCCAGACCTATTGAGTGGGGCAATCCAGGGGGCCAAGGATCTGATGAAGAACCAGGAGGAAATATCGTCAGTAAACCCCCACAGACACACCATCTGGATTCTAGCTGTTCACTCACACACAGATATTATTGAAGAGAACAGGGAGAGGAGATGTAAGTGTACTAAAGTACCGTGTAAAAGCCCCTGAGTTGGCCCTTGGAAAACAGGCACCATTTGCCAGAAACCCCTGTCCACGGTGGATTTGTCACCTGCGTCTTTGGGTTTTTGTGGAGTTGTCAGTTCACAGCAGGGAAGCACCTGCATCAGCTACATCAACTGTCTGTTCCACCCGGGGGGTGAGCAAAGGTTGGTCAGTCCGATCGCTCGGTTGTCTGCTTTTTTCTTCTCTTCACCAAAATCGTTTAAAGTTCGAAATGTATTCTTCAGTATATGTGAAAGTGGCAGGAATGAGGACAATAGGAATGAACAAATCACTCCAGATTATCAGGGAGGAATAAGAGGTGTTTTGTCTTTAAACTTTGGTATGGGGCCACCAAGAATATGCAGTGAATTACCAAAAAAAGGAAGAAGAAGAAATGCTCCCTCCAGGCAGGCTGGAGCCAGGGCCCGGGCCGTGGCGAGCGGCCCTTCATCCGGCTGCCGCTTGGGCCTGGTGCTGTGTGCGCTGCGCCTGCTGAGCCCCCGTGCACAGCAGCCCCGTGTGAAGATCTTCAGCTAAGAAACGAATCCCCCTGCACAGAGCAAGCCTAGAAAGATAAGGTTTAATCTCTAGGCCAAATAATAATAATAATAATAATAATAATAATAATAATAAATTAAGTTATCTCCTTGGAACCGTTAGTCATAGTTTTGACGTTATTTATTAAAGTCTAAAGCCTGAGACTCCAGAATGGGGTAACAGGGAGACACCCTCACTCTCGTGCCAGGTATAGTCGTTTTGCTACTTAACAGAGCATCAACATTCATTTTTCTCCCAGGACCACGGGCTACGTGGCTTCTTCCAAGGCGGCGTCCCCCGGGCCCTCCGCAGGACTCTGATGGCAGCCATGGCGTGGACAGTCTATGAAGAGATGATGGCCAAGATGGGCCTGAAGTCCTGACTGCGAGGGCACTGGGAAAAGATGGGATTTGTTGCCCTGCCTGGTTTCTGCCGAGGCTGCTTCATCTCACTGTCCTGGAGTGGGACGAAGTCCTATCTGGAAAGCCAGGCAAATGTGTCACCTTGTTACCGAGTTCAAGTAGAGAATAGATGGGCCTGGCTTAAGCCTTCAGAACCTCCCAAAAGAGGAGTTACTGGTGCTGAAGCACATTGGGCGGTTAGGAGAAGGGTCCACACACCCTGCAAGGCTACTTGAAAGCATTTCCCCAAAGCCAGCTCGGTCAGGGGTCTCTACTGCAGCTGCCCCTTACATCACGGTGCCTCTTTGGGTCTGTTTTTAGGCAGGGAATCGCACAGCAGGAGAGGCTGTGGCCCACCTGCTGTGGCCAGTGGGCTCCAGCTGGGGGTGTGGGGTTTTCTGCAGAGAGGAGTCCCTGTCACCAGGCCGAAGCCCACCTCTGCAGCGACGTTAGGAGGAGAAGGAAAAGGTGTCGTCACTTAATTGGCCCCTCACTGACTTCATGTACGCTCTGCAGAAGGGGAGGACAGTGGCTCTAAGGGTCCCCATAAAGCTCACGAGTGTCTTGGCCCCAGCACTGGTTCAGCTCGGAGTTCTGGCGTTTTTCTGCCACTCAAGTTTGGATAAATAAAATGAAGCATTTTTTCACTGAAAGCTGGTTGGAAAACCTACCATTATCACTCTGTTTTAAGACCTGGATAGGTCCTAAAATTTAGGACCTCACATTTTTACACAGCTGTATTCCACTTGTGATCAAATGACCCATTTCAAGTACACGATTCAGTGGTTCTTAGTGCTTTTACTCAGTGGTACGACCGTCACCATAAATCAGCTTTGGGACACATTTCTCCCACCCTGAGATCTCATCCACAGCACATCCTCCCTCTGAACCCCAGCCCCACTGAGGCAGCCACCGGTCTGCCTTCTGTCCATGAATTTGCCCTTTCTGAGTACCTCGTGTTAATGGGAGTCATGCAACACGTGGGCTCTCATGTGTGGCATCTTTCACTTTGCATAGAGTGTGTGAGGTTCGTCCGCGATGTGGCATATTCCACACTTTGTCCTTTTTAATGGCAGAAGACTACTGCACTGTATGCCTACACCGAATGTCATTTATCCACTTGTTGGTGGACTAGTATTTGAATTGTTTCCCCTCTTGGGCTCTTGTGAATGATGACACCATGCCCATTCATGTACACATGTTTCTGTGAACAGACATTTTTATTTCTCTGACATATGAGGCCTGTCCAGAAAGTATCCATCCGTGTGGCATGGAAAATAGAGACATTTATTGAAGAAGATACAAGAAACATTGTACATAGGACAAGGATGCCTCAGTCCCCTTGAAAGCAGGCGCCTTGGGACCTAACACAGTTTTTCTGATCGCCATCAGCTGCCCCATTGAATTTTCTTGAATCTCATTGATGGTCTGAACTCTCTTCCCTCGCTAAGGTGCTTTTGGTTTTGGGAAAAGCCAGAAGTCACAGGGCTCAAAGTCTGTTCTGAAGGGAGGGCTGAGTCACCTGGGTGACTGGATGTTTCACAAAAAACCTGCACAAGATAGTGATGTATGAGCAGGTGCGTTGTGATGGAACCGCCAATTACCGGTTGCCCATAGCTACGGCCTTCTGAATCATGCAAATAATTTCCACAGAGGGACGTTCAAGCTTAATGCAAAATTTGATAGAGATTCGTTGCTGTACTTGCTCGGTCATTTTGAATGTGACGGTATGTGACGGTCACACAGTACGTACACATGCTCACTCAATGGGAGTGTACCGCCCCCACTGTCTAGTACAGTGAAGTTGTCATTGCTCACACATGCGCATTCCAGTCCACTCTCCTTGGCTGCCAGGTTACATTGGTGTCTCCAACCATTCTCATTGTATTAATGATGGTTTGACTTTTTCCAGACCTCGTACATTTTCATTTCTGTTGCAAAAGTAGGTTTACATAATACAAGTAATATAGTAATAAATAATGAAAGAGTAAGCTCATGTACTCACAAATGTAAACCTACCTTTGCCTACTCCTGTATGCCCAGGAATGCTATTGTTGGGTCACGTGGTAACTTCACTTAATTATTTGAGAAACTACCAAACTGTTTTCCAAAGTGGCTGCACCGTTTCACATTTCCGGCGGCAGTGTATGAAGATTCCAGTCTCCCACATTCTCCCCCACACTTGTTACTGTCTCTTTGATTTATTACAGCCATCCTACTGGGTACCCACGTTTCTCTGTCAACTCTCAAGTTTAGGAAAGGGCCATTACTTTATCCCGGCAGCAGGAGGAGGAAGTTTGGACCGTGATCCAGGCTGCCCAGGTTGAAAGCTTGGCTTTCCACTTACCAGACACACTTGAAATTGCGTAGGAAGTGGGGATAGTAATATCCTAACCCTAGGGTGGTGGTAGGGGTTGAATGAGCAAGTTGTGTTAGTTTCCTAGGGCTGCCAAAACAAATGAGCACAAACGGTGGTTTCTGACCACAGAAACTCTTGTAGTTCTGGATCCTACAAGTTTAAATCATGGTGTCAGCCGGGCCATACTCTGTGGTCTCTAGTTCCTTGTCTTCAAGCTTGAGGGGGAGGGAGGGGAAAGAGGAGAGAAACATGGAGCAGTTGCCTCTGGAGTGCACCCTGACCAGGGACATAACCTGCAACCTAGGCAGGTGGCCTGACTGGGAATTGAGCCTGTGTCCTCTGGGTTAAGGGAACTACTCCCCAACCAACAGCCACACTGGCCAGGGCCAGAGTGGCCCCCATGTTAACTGGATTATGTCTGCAAAGACCCTGTTTCCAAATAAGGTCACAGAAGAACGGGGTTAGGACTTCAACATATTTGGGGGGGGCACAACATGTAACACATGTTCAATTCTATGATTTACGAGTGTAAGTTTATACTTCAGGTTTTAGGTGAAAATTCCCTATTCAAAGAAGTTGCATGGGGAGGATAGGAGGGAATAGTAGGGTGCTCAGCTCATAGTGGCCCCCAAGTCCCCAGGGCTAGGTGTCAAGCTGTTGGGACTGGAAATGGTGTGCTGGACAGGAATGAAGGGAAGGCAGGTAAGCACAAACGGTGGTCAGAGTGGCTGCCTCCTAAGAACTTAGACTCAGCTGGGGTGCTCAGGTCTTCTCTCAGGGCCTCTTCACTTTCCTTCCTTCCTTCCTTTGGGTGGGTGGAGCCTGATGTCAGTGAAGCACCTGGGAGGGGCGGGGCAGGGCAGGGTTGAAGCCCAGAGGTGAGGGCTTCACCCCAGTTCAGATTTGCCCGCCTTACACTTGGCTGCTGAATTTCAGCTACCACAGACTCTTCCATGTCCTATACTTGTTCTTTTTTTAGGGCAAATAATCATAAGATTGGAGAAATTTTCTGCAAACATTGGGTAAAACTGAAGTTTGCCTTTGTGAACCATGATTCCAGAGTCAACCCTGAGGTCTGCATATCCCAGGCCCTCCAGAATTTGTTTTTTTTCTGCCCTGCAGTCTCCCACGAGTATTAAACTTCAGAGAGGAAGTGGCTGGTGAGCTCTTGGCTTTGTAAACATTGCTCAGTGCCTTTTTTAAAAAAATTATTTATTCTTGGCTGCCTCAGAGCAAATTATTTAGAGGCGGGCTTTGTGGGAGGAAACAGCCATCTGGCAACTAAAGAGGGTAAGGCCCTGTAAGCCAGAGCCAAGAGAAGAGGAACACAAAGCTTTCACGCTGCTGCTACCCTCCATCTCCAGAAATACATTGGGGAATATTTCAAACAATCACAAGAGTGGAGCTGATGGCACATTGGCCTTTCATTCCCATCACCCAGATGAAACAATGGTCAGGGTTTTGTCAGGGTCCTGCTTCCCTTGCCACTCTCACCCCACTTTCCTTTGTGAAGAGCTTTGACAAGCAGATCCCAGACATTAAACCTCTCACCTCTCCCTAATTCAATGTGCATCTCTAAATACTATGGACATTGTTCTTATGTAACTGCAATGTTATTATCCCACGTGGGATAAGTAAATTTTTTTGCATATCATGCAATATGCAGCCCATAGTCACATTTCTATGTCTCAAAAATGTTTACAGTTGGTTCATTTGAATCAGGATTCAAATAAGGTGTCTTTCACCAGCTGTTCAAAAGGGTGAATAATTTGGGGGTAAACCATGATTTGAGTGAGTCAGTTCCGTGGGCCTCATCAAGCTGGGAAGGAAACCTAGCAATCCGGATTCTGGGGGTCTCAAGCCCAGACCGGCTCAGCAAAGCAACGCCCCTCCTCTCCCGCCTTTCTCCTCCCCCAGGCTGAGCGGTGTGCACTCCTAAGTTCTCAGCTTCTGTCACCACGCAGTCTCCCCAAAATGCTGGTTCAACGCAACGGGCCTGTAGGTGTTATTTCAGCTTCCAAGTTCTAGCTCCTTGGGAAACGCTGGCTCAGGTAGCTGAGAAGCACTCCGGAGTCTCAGATCGGTGGTTCTCAAACTTGGCTGCCCATTGGAATCACCTGGAGAACTTTAACAACTACTGATGTCTGGGTCTGCCACCAGAGATTCTAGTATTTTCAGCCTAGATTGTGGCTTGGGCACGAGGAGTTTTAAAAGTTCCCCCAAGTAAGCCTAACGCCCAATGCAGGGGCACGGAGGAGCGCCGCGGGGCCGGGATTCCCCATTCACCTCCCGCAACAGGAGCTCCAAGGGTTAAGCAGGAGGCCGTCGCGGCGGCGGGAGTCCGTTGGGAGCGGGGTGCGGGGCGTGGCGGCGGCCGGGGGCGGGGCCCAGCGGCGGCCCGGGCTGCAGAACGGCGGGAGTCGGTGGAGCTAAGCCGCGGACAGAGGAGCCGAGGACCTGGCAGCCGAGCGGAAACTTCTATTCAAAACAAAGCGGAGAGCCGGCGGGCGCGAGGGGCGCGGGGCTGCGGCCTGCTCGCAGTGGTGCAGCCGGCGATGGAGGGAAGCCCGGGGGTCCGCCATTTCTCGTCCTCCGAAGGCCCCGGGGCGCCTCCGAAGACCACGCACTCCATGGAGGAGCTGCAGAAGCTGACCCTGCACGTGAAGGAGACCCTGGACGTGCTGACCCCGCTGGAGCTGCGTAATTTCCGCGACATCCTCAAAAAGGTGGACGAGGAGCCGCGCGTGACCCAGGTGCAGCTGGAGCTGGAGGGCGACAACACCTTGAAGCTGGCCCGGCTCCTGGCCAAGCAGTACTACGCGTCCGCGCCGCGCGTCCTCACCAAGGTGCTGCAACAGCTGCCCCGCGCCGACCTGCTGCCGCGCTGGGAGACCAACCCCGTCGCCAACGGCTTGGGTGAGCGCCGGGATTCCCGGGCCGGGAGCCCTGGCGGGAGGTGGTCCTGGGGCTGCGGGTGGTTCGACTCCGCCGCTAAGAGATTTCCGTGCAGGTCCCCTTGGGCGGCTAGGTGCCCAACGGAATGGCTGGAACGGGTCACGGGGGCAGGGAGGGTGCGAGCTTCGAGGGAACCATTGAATCTGCGGCGGGAGGTGGGAATCCCGGGGTACACGGGCTGGATGTTCACCATTTCCAGGCTAGTTGGAGATACTGGCCAGTTGGAGAGGAGCTACAAGTATCTACTAGTTCGTTCTGGGGTGGGCTCAGAAGTCGACTCAGCAGGCCTGAGATGCACTTTAGACAAGTACCTCCAAGTGATCATGATGTGGCAGGTTTTTAGATGATACTGTGAGCAACCCGGGGTTGGAATCCCCTCTGCCATATCTCCAGTGGGCGTTTGGGGGAGAGTCCTCTCCTCCTTGCACACCGTTAGCCCATTTGCCATAAATCTGGGGAGATGAGGCTTAGGATGAAGAAATGCAGTAGGTAACAGGTTGAGGAAGGTTAGCCCCCTCCTGCCATTTAATCGTGTATGTGTGTATAATGTATAAACTGTACTGCCAGTGGTCCGTGCCCTCAGCCTGCTTATGACCTGGTGGAGCTTTGAGTTATGTAGCTGTTGCTGATCTTTTCAGATTGGTAATGGATGAGGACTGGAACTGCTTAGGGATGAGGCCCGCAGGCGCCCTACCGTCCCCGTGAGCCTGGGATGCTCCCTTTGTTCGCTGCACCTGCACAACGCCCAGGGTGCCCCTCCTGTTCTTTGTTTACGGACCACACTTTTATAACCCTTTAGGCTGTGACTCACTCACGATTGGCAAAGTGTTTCTTTGTTTTTCTTTCTTCGATTCTTCCAAACTACACAATTTCATGGCCACTACACACTGTAGGCCAATATGTCTCTGAATTGAATGCTAAGATACTCTGTTAAATAAAATAAATAAAAATAGGGTCTAGTTCTTTTACTTCATCTGTCTCCTCCTTATTGATTGGTGTCTTGTGTACTTCCCAGGAAGTACATGTGCATAAAGTCAGTTAGCTTTTGTTAATCTCTGGCCGCCACCTTTCTGCCCCTGAACCTGCCTGGGGTGTAAGGGAGTTCTCCCTTTGGTTTCCAGCCTCATGCGTTTGAGAGGGGGTGGGTGTTCCTGATCCAAGGAAACTGTTCTAAAATGAAATCTAAGGCTGCTGGACTGTAAGACGCAAGAGGCATTGAAGTCCTCAGGGGAAGTGTGATTAAAAAGAGATTAATGCTCATTTTCTATCCTGTTTCCTTGAAAATTCATTCAGTGATCCCAAGAAAACGCGTAAGAAGAAGCTCTGACTCTGTGGACTGTGATTTGGTAAATATCTTGACTCTTACTTCAGTACTGCACCCTGGTTAGTAAAATCTGTATTTAGCCACCACTCGAACGTTCGGGGTGCTGCTCCCGTTGGGTGGAAGATGACTGGTAGCCTGTGTGCTTGTCTCAGGTGGTCATATCTCACTGCTCTCTGTTTTAACAGTAAACGCTAAGCAGTTGCCAGTTAAAAGTGCTGTGTGTGCAGTGACCAAAATCTGTGACTATCTCCACTTTACAAAACAAGAAAAAAGTGAGGCACTGGAGATAAAACACTTGTTTCCCTGGCCTTAGGGTTTGTTTGCTTCTTGAAGTTTTATTATGGGTATTTTAAAGATATGCCAAGTACAGGGGCTGGAAAAATGAATCCTCCAAAAGGGCAATCCAATGTACTTATCATCCAGCTTCAACAATTAGCAACATAATGGCCAGTCTTGTTTCATTTGCTCCCCCTCCCAAGTGTTTTAAAGCAAACCCAGACATCATATCACTTGCATCTACGTATATATATGTTATTTTACTTAGTATGTATTTCTGAGAAAGACTTTTTTCGAGACAGAACCATAATGCCCTTATTGTACCTAAACCAAACTCCTTACACCTGGCGAAGATGTAGCCTCATTCAGATTTGCTTGGCTGGTTCCTGCGTCTCTTACATTTGGTTTGCTGGAATCAGAACTCTGGTCTACACGATTGCATCCGACTGCTTTGTCTCTTAAGACTCTTAATTTACAAAACTTCTTTAACCTTTTACTAGTTGTTTACTTGTTGAAGAAACCAGTCTATCTGCCCTGTAAAATGCCCCACTTTCTGGATTTCGATGACTGTGACCCTGTGTTATCATTTACCCCTTTCCTCTACCTGCCCTGTGTCTTTAAACTGGTAGTCATGCTTATCTATGGGAATTTTCTGAGTTTGGCCTGCGAGTCTAGGTCTGAGAAAGGTATTTGAAAGAATTGTAAATCAAGTCACGCCTCCCCTCCAGAACTGACAGCAGAGGCCATCCGTGTCACGTTCCTGGCCTGAACCCAGAAACCTCGCCATTAATCCCAGAAGAAACTCCTTGCTGGGTGTATACTTGATCCTTGCACAGTATGGGTTGGAACTGCATGGGTCCACTCACAAGGGAGTTTTCAGTTGACTAGCGCAGTTCCAGCCTGTGTTGTTCGAGGGTCCGAGTGGCTGGCTGTGTTTACAGGCAGATTTCCCACCTCGAAGAAGGTGGCTGCCCCTGACCCCTCGTTCTTCAGTGGGTCAGCTGCATAGGGTGTTATTTGGCTCTCTGAGTGTGGTTTGGTCTGAGCCCTGTTTCTTGGCTTTGCTGGAAAACAGGACCATTACGACCTGAGTGGTAGCCGGAAGGCTTTCCTCATGTGCGTGAAGAAGACCAGGCCGGGGGCCAGCCGGGACGTGGAGCTGATGGAGCAGTGGCTCGGCCAGTGCCTGTTCGAGTACACGCTGTGCATCGATCCTGGCAAAAAGGTAATGAATGAAAAGTAAAAATGAATCATAGTGGGTTGGGTTTTATAACCGTCCTTCCTTTTGTTTTAGGAAAAAAATTAGGTTTTAGTCTGTGGTGAGAGTTAAGGCCTGCTGAGCAAGGAGGGACCTGTATGTCGTGATGAAGTTATTTACACCTTTGGAACCTGAAGTGCATGATTTCCCCAGCTCCGTGTCCAGGCATCAGGACCTCTTGGACTTTGAAAAGTCCTTGTGGGACTGACTTGGAACCATGTGACGGGTCGGGAGAGGGTCTCTGAGAGACCTGGGCAGAATTGCGTTGGGACTTAACTAGATGAGGCAGAAAAAATAAGATTGATGAGTGGTGGGGGCAGGGTGAGACCTCCTTTTGTTCTCTCTGATCCTAGTTCAATCATGGCCCTGACCTGCCCGTATTTTGGGACAATGACACAGGAAAGCCCTTCAAGGTTCCAGGAGTCACTGCTAATGAACATCAAGGAACAGTGCAGCGAAAAGCTGTGCATGCAGCGTGGACTTCCAGGGTTGGAATCCCATCTCTGGTTGTGTGACCTTAATTAAATCTGGTTCTCAACTGAAGGTGATGTTGTCCCCCAGAGGACATGTGGCAATGTCTGGAGACACTTTTGGTTGTCACAACTGGATGTACTCATGGTATCCAAGTGGGTAGAAGCAAAGAATTATCTGGCCCCAAATGTCATTAGTACAATGGTTTTAGAAGCCCTGCCTTCAAGTAATTGACTACTTTCTTGTCTCTGCCACGGGGATGGTGAGGGTGAGTTATCAGTATTTTGTAGGGCGGCTGGGAGGATGAAGTGAGCCTCCAGGCATAAAAGTTCTCAGAATAGTAGCTGGCTTATAGTTAAGTGCTCAATAAATGTCAATTAAAAAAAATTATTTCAAAGCTAAAAACAGACTCCCTCGTTTCCCCCAAGGTTTGTGCTAGAATCTCCTCCACATGACATGATTTTTAATCAAGTCCCTTCCATGCAGGTGACCGATATGGCTAACATTCTTTTGGTTTCTTCTCTCAAAGATCCAGAAATGGCCTTTTTCTCTACATCCTGTTAACATTTATTTATAAATATTTAGCAATCTCCCTGACAAAAGTGTTTTTAAGTTTCACTTTCTAAGTCGTTTGGTTGAACATCTCTGTATTCTTTGGCCTGTTCCTACTGGGTTTTCTTTTTCTTATACCAGTTATTTTCCTGAACGTTATTCATTTACAAAACCTAGTGCAAGTATTTTTCTCCTGCTCTGTTACTTACTTGTCTTGTCACTTTTTGTTGTCTGAAGTCACAAGGAAGTCGTTTAGTTTCTGTGAGTAAACGGGTCAGTCTTCCTGTTCGTCAGCTCTTGGTTTTCGTGTTCTGATTAAACCCCATGTCTTCCCACTTTCAAAAAAATTCAAATGAGTTTTCTGTGGTTTTTAAAAATAGTTTAAGGTTTACCTTCTCTCTGCAATTTTACTTTTGTAACTGTAGTATAGGAGGTCTGACTAGATTTCCAAGTGGATAATCAGTTATCTCAACATTTATTGAATGTTCCGTCCTTTCCCCACATTAAAAATTCCACTGTTATCATGAACTAAATTCCTATAGCATAGTATTTGAATTGATTTTGGGATTCTAAAATATTCCATTCATATATTTGTTTATAGTTATGCCAGTATTTTCCCCCGAGGCCCCCCTGCCCCATGATTTTGTGGTACCCTTTGATATTTGGTAGGACCTAATCCCCACCCATTGCTGGTGTCTTTCGTCTGAATGTTCTTGGTATTCTTGAGAATGATCTGCTCTCTATGGCCTTGAGAATCTTCTGGTTACGTTGACAGGATTCCTTTGGGATTTTGCTTGACATGACATTGACTGGAGATTGGTTTGGAGGAAATTGGCAAATTAATAGTATTGAGTCATCTCAGAAGCTTTGGCAGGCCATGGTTTGTACATGTTGCTTCCTCATGAGTTTTCTTATGGTTTTTCTCATTTAGATAATGTGTGTTCCTTGTGAGGGTTTTCCCCGGCTGTTTCAGTTTTGTTGTGACCACGAATGGGATCCCTGCTGTTCCATTATGTGGCTTAAATGATTATTGCTGGGTATGTAAGGGAATGCACATTTCTCTGTTCATCTTGTATCCTTTTAACCTGATGATCTCTAATCTAATAGTTTTTAGTTGACTTATATTTCTAGATAGTCATGATGTCTCTCTACACAAAATATGTTTTGGCCCTTTGTTTCCAATATTGAAACTTTTTAATTTTTACTTTCTTTCACTGAGCTGGGTAGGATCTTTATTATAACGTGTCTGGGAGTAGACAGCAGCCACCCGTGTGATGGATTTTGATGACAGCTGCTGACAGACTCTGGCAGGCGTATATTATTGACTGGACTCCTCCCTTCTCTTCTTTTATGGAGACTATTAATTTTATACAATGATTTTTATATGTTAAAGCAAGTTCATGATGAGATTGAAATATATTAACCCTTTGGGGAGCTGTAATTCTGTTGTATTTCATAGTAGACAATCAGAAATGCCCTAATTTGGTCAAACCAGAACCGGTAGCACAAGAAGAAATCAATCAGATTCTGAGGGCATCCACAAGGGAGTGATTACTCAAGAAGTGAATATGTACCTCATACCACCTCTGCTAGAGACGGAGGTATTTTCATATTTATCATCTCATCGGATCACTTTGTAGTAAAGGGGCCACCTCTAGTGTTCCCGGCTTTTTTCTGCCCTTCAATTCTTTTTAATATGTTCTCCTATTTTACAGGAGTTAATTGACACACTAACTTCATTTCGTGATGGATTAAATGAAATTAAAGATGAAATTAGCTGTTGCCTCGTCACTCTTATGTCCCATGGAGAAAACGGCTTTATTAAAATGAAGGATGATGACAAAGTCAGCCTGGAGTTCATTTTTGACATGTTTAATAATAAAAATTGTCCAGCGCTGCACGAGAAACCGAAGATCTTTATAATCCAGGCCTGCAGAGGAGGTGAGTGGCGACTTCCTTGGAATCGTCATGTTCCTAGAGAATTCTCGTGCTGATGATTGAGAAAAGAAAAATAGGTTTAAAAATATACGTGTGTAGATAATATATATTACACGAGAGGACCCTTAGCCAATGTAACTTCAGTCCTGTAGTGTACTAGGGACTTAGAGCTGAGAGAAAGGGATGGATGGAAAACTTACCTGGGGCAGAATAGCTAACTTGGGCTGAGGAACGAACCAAGTCACCGACTTCAGGGGGTGGGTCTGGGAGCCTCAAAATCTGAGAGAGGGGTGTACAACTGTCTAGGGACCTCCCACCATGTGATTCCGGGTGGCTTGTGGGACTGACATCTGATTTAGCTTTCTGTGCATTTTTGTCTCTCGTGGCCATACCAACTTGCAGTGACTTTTATCCAGGGCTGCTTGTGTCAGTGACGAATTATCGTAGTGTGTCTCTTTATTCCTTAAAAACTAGAGAGAAGAGACAGTGGTGTTGAAACAGATGATGAGCCCATGGACTCGGATGACATATCCGAGAAGAGGAGGCTGCCCACGTTCAGCGATTATTTCATCATCTATCCCACCCAGTCAGGTGAGACCTCCAAGGGGGAGGGTTGGGAGATGCACCTCTGCCGGAGAGTTTTGGTCATTCCCAATGATTTTTAAAATCTTTTTTTAAAAAATGAACTGTGCTTTTCCGATTGATGTTTATTTATAAGTAGTTTTTTTCATTAAAAATATGTTTTGTTGATTTTAGAGAGAGAGAAAGGGAGGGAGGGAGAGAAACATCAGTTGGTTGCCCACCGCACGTGCCTCAGTCAGGGATCGAACCTGCAAGCTCCGCGTGTGCTCTGATGGGAATGGAACCCCCAGCGTTTTACTGTATGGGACCACGTTCTAACCAACCGAGCCACACTGGCAAGGGCTAAAGGAGAGATTTTTATTAACGCCTTCATCTCCCTTCAAAAATGGTTCCTGCCCTGGCCAGGTAGCTTGGTTGGTTGGAGCATCATCCTGGTATGCCAGGGTTGTGGGTTCGGTCCCCAGTCAGGGCACATACGGGAATCAACCAATAAGTTGATGTTTTTTCTCTTTCTTCTCCCCCTCTCCCTCCTCCCCTTACTCCTCCCCCACTTCTCTCTCTCTCTCTCTCTCTCTCTCTCTCTAAAATCAATTTAAAAAGTGGTTCCTACTTTCAGAAGTGGCAGGTTGGCATCTTACTGTTTATTTCTTCCAGGAAGACATCAACCTCTTACCAAAGTACCACAAAGTAAATAAAATCATTGGTTCTCATGTGAAAATGATGTTGGCCCAAAAGCTAGCTCTGCTACTTGCTATCTTTGAGATTTTGAATATTTTTTGGCCTCTAGATATTTGTTGTTTCATATAAAGTGAAATGATAGAAGAACTTCTGGCCAAGGTGGAGGTGTAGGCGGAAACATTGTGCCTCCTCCCACAACCAAGTTTAAAGACAACAAAGATTTAGTAATAAAAACGCAGCCAAAACACAGAAAATTGAACTACACGGAAGTCTGACAACAACAAACCCTTCAGCTAGACTGGTTAGAGGGGTGGAGCCAGTGACTGGTGCAGCGGGGTGGGGCAGGAAAGATCGGCCAGACTGACCTAGGAGTGCAAGCGGTTGGCAGATCCCAGGCGTGGGGTGGCAACAGGCGGACCCAATGGGAGTGCAAGGCGGCTGGCTGACCGTGGTCACACATTTGCACGCAGATAAACCAAGTGAAGGAGCGAGCAGTGAGACAGACTGCTCAGGCGAGGGCCACACACCCGGGAGCCAGCACCAGGGGGGCCCGGTTTGCTTACGGGAAGCAGCAGAGGGGACCAAAATCCAAGAGAAAGCATGGAACAAATGCCATTGCCCCTCTCTGACCCTGCCCCCCACATAGAGCATCACAACCCAGCAACTGGGTCTCCCCACCCTTGTGAATACCTAAGGTTCTGCCCCTCATACATAACAGGTGCGATCAGACCAAAACATTATGGCTCAAGAACAGCTCAAAGCCCCAGAGCCAATACTTCTAAGCGACCAAGAGATAGCCAGCCTTTCAGATGCACAGTTCAAAACACTGGTGATCAGGATGCTCACAGAACTGGTTATTTTAGTCACAAATTAGAGGAACAAGTGAAGGCTAAACTAATTGAAATGAAGGGAAATGCACAGGAAACCAACAGTGATGGAAAGGAAACTGGGACTCAAATCAAGGGAGTGGACCAGAAGGAAGAAAGAAACAACCAAACAGAAAAGAATGAAGAAGCAAGAATTCAAAAAAAATAAGGAGAGGCTAAGGAACCTTCAGGACATCTTTAAACATTCCAACATCCGAATTATAGGGGTACCAGAAGGGGAAGAGGAAGAGCAACAAGTGGAAAACTTATTTGAACAAATAATAAAGGAGAACTTCCCCAATCTGGCAAAGGAAATATACTTCCAGGAAGTCCAGGAAGCTCAGAGTCCCAAAGAAGTTGGACCCAAGAAGGAACACACAGAGACACATCATAATTATATTAGCCAAGTTTAAAATGAAGGAGAGAATCCTAGAAGCAGCAAGAGATAAGGGGTCAGTCACCTACAAAGGAGTTCCCATCAGACTGTCAGATGATTTCTCAAAAGAGACCTTACAGGCAAGAAGGGGCTGGAAAGAAGTATTCCAAGTCATGAAATCCAAAGACCTACATCCAAGATTGATCTATCCATCAAAGCTTTCATTTAGAATGGAAGGGCAGATAAAGTGCTTCTCAGGTAAAGTCAAATAATTCATTATCACCAAGCCCTTATTATATGAAATGTTAAAAGGACTTATCTAAGAAAAACAAGATAAAAAAACATGAACAGTAAAGCGACAGCCAACTCACAGTTATTAGTAACCACACCTAACACAAAAGCAAACTAAGCAAACAACTAGAACAGAACCATAGAAATGGAGATCACATGGAGGGTTAGCAACAGGGGAGTGGGAGAAGGAGAAGGGGGGAGAAGGTACAGAAAATAAGTAGTATAGACGGTAGGTAGAAAATAGATAGGGGGGAGGGCAAGAATAATATGGGAAATACAGAATCTAAAGAACTTGAGACACATCATAAACTAAGGGGGGGATGGTGTGCAGGGTAGAGGGGAATGAAGGGGAAATGGGACAACTGTAATGGCATACATAATAAAACATATTTAAAAAAAATGAAATGATAAAATTGACCCATATCATTAGGATGTTATGTAAATTAAATTATGTAATGCAGGTATTGTGTTTATCATAACAATTGGCATAATAAATACCAAAATTAGCTGTTCTTATTACTAATATACTATGCTAATAATATCATCATTGTTAGTAATACTATTACTAATAAGTTAAAGTCCAAAAGAATCTTATGTGCTGGAGGGGTGGACTTGCCAGGAAAATATAGAGAAGTTGTAATTAAATGGTCAGGGACATTTATTTAACTGTTGTTGTTTTTAAGATTTTATTTATTTATTCATTATTTATTTTAAAATATTTTATTTATATATTAGAGAGGGAGAGAGAGGGACAAAGAGAGGGAGAGAAATGTCAATGTGTGGTTGCTTCTTGTGCGACTCCTACTGGGGACTTGGCTTGCAACCCAGGCATGTGCTCTGACTGGGAATCGAACCAGCAGCCCTTTGGTTCACAGGCTGGCTCTTGATTTACTGAGCCAACCAGCCAGGGCTATTTAGCTGTTTTTATTTTGACCTTCTTTACTAACAATTAAGGTAGCTTAAAAATAAATAAATAAATAAATATCCAGAAAGTACTGAACCATGTAATATGCACAATAGAGACATTTAATGAAGAAGATAATAAGATACAAGAAACATTGTACATAGGACAATGACACCACAGTCCGCTTCAAAGTAGGCACCTTGGGACCTCACACAGTTTTCCCAGTCACCATCAGCTGCCCCATCATATTTTCCTGAATCTCATTGACAGTCTGAAATCTCTTTCTTTTCAAAGGTGATTTTAGTTTGGGGAAAAGCCAGAAGTCACAGGGTCCCATATCTGGGCTGTAGTGAGGCTGAGTCACCTGGTTGATTTGACGTTTTGCAAAAAAAATCTGCAGGAGACATGATGCATGAGCGGGTGGGTTGTTGTGATGAAGCTGCCAATCACTAGTTGCCCATAGCAAAATCTTTCTGAATCACCAGAATAATTTCAGCAGAGGAAAGCTCAAGCTTAACATAAAATTTGATGCAGATTCGTTGCTCTGCTTGCTCAGTCATTTTGAATGTGACGGCCACGCAGCACACATGCTCACTGAGGGGTGTCTGTCACCCCCACTGACCAGTACAGTGAAGTTGTCATTGTTCACACATGCACATTCCAGTCCACTCTCCTTGGCTGCCAGGTTACATTGATGTCACACAAACTGTTCTCATTATGTTAACAATGGCTGGACTTTTTCCAGACAGACCTCATATATATATGCAGTTCAAGATAAAATTTTAGTGGAGAAATGGAAAATGAAAGAAACATTAGTGAGTTGTGAGACATTGAAAATGTCCTTGGGTATTTACCCAAGAAAGATGAAAGCATATGTCCTCATAGTCACTTGCACGCGGATGCTCATAGCTTCATTTGAAAAGTCAGAAACTCTAAATAACCCGGATGGCCAGCAAATCATGGCGTATCGTACTCCAAATACTACTTGGCTTTAGAAAGAAACGAGTTCCCAATACAGGCTGTAACAGATGAAGCTCAAAATAGTAACGCTGGCTGGAAGAAACGAGGTAAAGTCCTTACTGTCAGATTCTGTGCTTATAAAATTATAGACAGTGCAAAGAAATCTATACATGTGACAGAAGGCAGGTGAGTGGTGTGGGGTGGAGGATGAGGCGGGAGAAGGGTCACAAAGGGACATGAGGTCACTGGGGTGTGACTGGTATGTTCATTCTCATTATTGTGGCAATGGTTTCACAGAAGCTTACATATGTTAAAACTTATTAAATCGCATACTTAAAATACATGTGCATGATTGCTAATTATTGTACTTTAATAAAGCTGTAAGATTTTTATTTACTGATTTTAGAGAGAGAGAGGAAGGGAGAAAGGGACAGATTCAGAAATACGGATTTGTTGTTCCACTTATTGATGCATTCACTGGTTGATTCTTGGATGTGCCCTGACCAGAGGTTGAACCCACAATTTCACAATTTTGGAGTATTGGGATAATGCTCTAACCAACTGAGCTGCCCAGCCAGGGTCTAAAGCTGTAAGATTTTTTTTTTTAAAGATTTAGAGAGGGGAAGGGAGGGAGAAACAGATGGAGAGAAATATCAGTGTGGGGTTGCCTCTCGCTTGCTCCCTACGGAGGACCTGGGACCACAACCCAGGCATCTGCCCAGACTGGGAATCAAACTGGTGACCCTTTGGTTTGCAGGCTGGTACGCAATCCACTGAGCTACATACACCAGCCAGGGTAACGCTGTTAAGATATTTTAAAAGCTAGGTATAAAGAATGCGCTGGCCAACATGGCTCAGTCGGTTGGAGCATCATCTGAAAGGTGGCTAGTTCTAGTCCCAGTCAGCGCACATGCCCAGGTTATAGGCTCGATTCCCTGTTGGAGCACCTGCAGGAGGCAGCCAATCAGTGTTGCTCTCTCATATCAATGTTTCTGTCTCCCTTACCCCCTTCTCCTGTCTCTCGAATGAAAATAAAACAAACCTTAAAAAAAAAAGTTAGGTATAAGACAAGCATGCCTACTATCACCGCTGCTATCTAACATGGCACGGGAGATCCTGGCTAATGCATTAAGATAAGGAAAAAAGCTGTAGGGTAAGTATTCTAGAAATCAGTAGCTTTGAATATAGTAGCGATAATACATGATAACACATAAAGAAAAGAAAAAGATATTATTTTTTATGTTTTAGTGAATGATGTCTTGGGATGACTAAGAAAAGATAAGCAAAAACTTTATTAGAAAATAGTGAAACACTCCAGAAAGACACAGGGGAAGACCTGAATGAGTGATGGGAAGTGCCATGCTCGTGGATGGGAAATTTCAATCCCAGAGAAATACTGACAGTTTTTTTCTAAGTCCATCTATAAGTTGAATTCCAAAGTGTTTTTCCCCCCATGGACTTGACAAACCAATGAGAACTATTATCGAACAATTAAGGGTCAAGACAAGAAACCTCAAACTCTAATTCTGTTGAATGAATGAATTTTACAACTATGTGCTAGCTCATACATGTGCGAGGGCTAGAGATTCAGGAATGAACAGAGGAGCTAAAAACCTCTGCCTCACTCAGCGTACGTTCCAGTGGGGGAGACAGACAGTAGACACACAGCGGAAAGAGGTATGGTGTGATTCCTTTATGATTCCATTCGCCTAAAGTTCCAAAACAGGCAACGCTGATCTGTGGTGTCGGGAGTCAGGCTAGAGCTTGTCCCTGGGTGTGCAGAGTGTTTGGACTGGTAATGACCAGAGTGGGCCACAAGGGGCCTCTGGGAGTGGTGGACTGCCTTGTCTCCTGAGGAGGGTGCCAGTTCCTCGGGTGTGTCCATTTTGTGAATGTTGAGCTATTACATACTCTTAACACTTTGTGCACGGTTCCGTGTGATTTACCCTTCAGTGAAAAGTATACAGTTATGTTAGGTGGTAGTAAGAGCTATGGAGAAGAACAGTGCAGGAACAGGAGATTGGGAGTGTTGAGGGATGGGGCAGAGATTGCAGTTTTTAAAAAAAGATACATAAGAGATGTCCCCAGTGAGAGGGGATTATATTGTAGAGACTTGAAGGATGTGAGAGGGTGAGCTGTGCAGACGTTTGAGAGAATTAGTCTTGTCAAAGAGGAACAGTTGGTATAAAGGAATAACAAAACTACGTATCAGCCTGTGTGTGGACAGACAGACAGCTGGGGTGGGATAAAGCTCTGATTCCCCTCTTAGTGCTGCTTTTACTGAATTCCTTAGGAACAACCGAACTGTCTATCCGTAGGGGACTAATTGAATGAGGTATAGGGGAATCAGACGGTATGACCTGGAAGCCATTACTAATCAGTGGTGAAAGAATGGACCACTTAATAAACGGTACTGAGAAAATTGTTTCTCAGTGGGGAACAAATAATTTATGTTCAAATGTCTTGGCATGCAGTTCATTGTATCTTTAATCACATGCAGTCTCTATGGTTCTTTTTCCTTCTTTAATATTTGTGTCATCCTTTTTATTCTTGATCACTTTTTTCTAGGGGTTTATTTATGTAATTAAGAACCCATTTGTAGTTTCATTAATGCTCTCTGGTATTATGTTTGTCTTGAGTTCATTCATTTTGACTCATATTTCCATTTTTCTCCATTTTGGGGAGGTTTATTCTACTCTTCCCAACTATTTTAGTTAGGTACTTGACTCATTATTTTATACCTTAAAAAAAAAAACATAAACATGTGCCCTGACTGCTGTGGCTCAGTTGGTTGGGCATCATCCTGCAAAGCCAAAGTCTGCCGGTTTGATTCCTGGTCCAAGCACATGCCTGGGCTGTGGGTTCAGTTCCTGGTTGGGACATGTAGGAGAGGCACCCGTCACTGTTTCTCTCTCACATCAGTGTTTCCCTCGCTTTTCCCCTCCCTTCCCATAAATTTCATATGGATGTATTTAGGAGTATTTTGCTTAAAATGCTGTAACAAAAGTCAGCAATAAAAGAGAAGAGGGATAAAATGTACCAAATGGTACCATGATAACCGCTGAGTCTGAGGGATGATCATATGGGCATCTGTTAAGTTTGCTTTCTCCTTTTCTGTATATCTGAACACTTGTATTTAAAAAATGCATATTAAAAGAATGCTGTATTGAGAGGTTTTGTGCTCTTGGTCACACAAGTCCCCTTGGAGGCGCCGGTCTGTGCCCGAGTCTGTCATGGCCCCAGACACATTTCTGCTAAAGAAAGAGTGTTTTCTGCAGTCTCAGTTCGAAGCCATTTTCTAGGCCCTAACTGTGGCCAGAGAAGAGTTAGCACAAGCAGAGGGGAAATATGGACAAAACTGTTTTGTTTTAATTTGCAGATCATGTTGCTTTACGGCACCCCCGCACTGGCTCCGTGATGATCCAGGCGATGACTGACGTCTTTAAAGAATATGGAAATAAGTGGCACATTGCTGACTTTTTCACCAAAGTAAGTGGATCCCAGGGCACCGTGCAGTCCGCTCACTCTGAAGCTGATGTGCTCGATGAGAAGGTTGTCATGACAGGATTGAGCTTAGCCACGCAAGTTTCGCCTGAAGACACTAGGGTGACTATGAGCGTAGAGCCCAGTCCCCAACCTTTTGGGCACCAGGGACAGGTTTCATGGAAGATTTTTCCAGGGGGTGTTGGGGGGGGGACACAAGAAGTGGAGCTCAGGCCACTCACCTCCTGCTGTGCGTCCTGGCCCGACCAGGCTGGGGACCGGTACCAGTCCTAAGCCTGGGGTGTGGGGACTCCTGGTGTAGAGGACTGTGGCAGTGTTGTTCAGAAGACACGGCTGAGCCACGTGCCCAGGGGAACTGACAGTGACACTTCCTATTCATTGGTAACACGAATGAGTGTTGAGTGTGCTGTTAGGTGAGCTGGCTGCACGGCTGCCCTAGGGGAAGGGAGAACCTGAGGGCTTCTTTCAAGACCAACACAGGCCCTGGTCTGTGTGGCCCAGTTGGTTGGAGCAGTCATCCTGTAAACCAAAAGGTCACAGGTTTGATTCCTGGTCAGGGCACATGCCTAGGTTGTAGGTTTGGCCCTCAGTTGGGGCATGTATGAGAAGGCAACGGATTGACATTTCTCTCCCTCTCTTCCCCTCTTTAATATCCTCAGGTGAGGATAAAAAAACAATTAAAAAAAGAGAGACCGACCCTGGCTGGCATGAGTGCCCCCTGCTGGTAGCCCATGGTCAGTGTTCTCTTGGCGAATGAGAGGCTGAGAGTCGGCGCTCATTTCCACCGGGACGTAGCTAGGAGGATGGCCGATGACAGGGGTTCGTCATCAGGCTTGAAGCGTAATTCTCTTCTTAATCTGGGATTTGAATACCAGAGCGGTAGTTAGAAAAGGTTGTAAATGAGCACAGTAATCGCAGTACCAACGTGGATGGCAGGGCTCACCCTGTGCCTTACAGATACTGATCATTTAAGTCTCCAGCGCCCGCAGGCAGCTACCAGGACGACCTCCCAGGCTCGAAGCAGCAGGGCGTGGCCCAGTCAGTTTCCAGCCCAGGCCCAGGGCTTCCAGGGTTCGTGCCCCAATCAGTTATGCAGTAACCGATCCTCCCTTCCTCATGGGATGGTAACTATTTTATTTCTTTAAAAGAAACTTAATACTTTACATACAATGCTTAACTTTTTTCTTAAACACCTCATTTAGGTAAGCCCTTGGGGAAAAATGTTAAAGGGAGGGACTACAGACAATTTGGATGGTGATTCCAGCCATATTCCCCAATATCTCCGATTGCTCGATTTCTCTCTTTAAAAAAATAGTTTCTTGTCAGTTTCTCATGCATATGTAATAATAAAGACAGATTTAACCAACTCTACATAGAAATCCATTTTAGCTTCATGCTAACTGAAAAACTGTTTTGCCAACTAATGTTTGCTGAGTCTTTACTGAACGCCCTCCATTTTTGTTTTAATTCACCATGTGAACCATTTTTAGGGATGTAGTTCAGCGGGGCTAAGTGCATTCACGTGGTAATGCATCATCACCCCCGACCCTCTCCAGAACTTTCTCACCTTCCCGACCTGAAGTTCTTCCCCATCACACAGTAACTCCCCCTTTCTCCTCCCTGCCCCCCGCCCCCCGCAGGCACCACTCTTCTCTCTGTCTCCATGAATTTGACTACTCCAGGTTCCTCCTGTAGGTGGAATATTACAGTATTTGTCCTTTTGTGTCTGGCTTATTTCACTTAGCGTAACACCCTTATCCACTCATGCTGAAGCGCATGCGAGAATCTCCTTCCTTTTGAAACACCCTTCGTTCTTAAAGCTCTTGCTGAGTAGAGGCTGGTGAGAAAATATCGAGAAATAAGCACGAGGTGGCCTTTGCATTAAAAGCACTTAGAGCTTAGTTAGCAGGTGACAGATGTGCTTACAGCCAACCATGGAATGTACCGCTGTCGGATACTTTAGACATAGCGTATTCCTCTGCTTGCTTTTTAAAAAAAGATTTTATTTATTTATTTTTAGAGAGAGGGCAAGGCAGGGAGAAAGAGAGGGAGAGAAACATCAGTGTGTGGTTGCCTCTTGCTCACCCCCACTGGGGACCTGGCCCTCAACCCAGGTATGTGCCCTGACTGGGAATTGAACCAGTGACCCTTTGGTTCTCAGGTCAGTGCTCAATCCCCTGAGCTACACCAGCCGGGGTGTAATCCTACACTTTCATTGTACCATGAGCACCAGGCTCAGAAAGGCTTACTACCTGATGTGGTATTACCCAGGGGCAAGCTTGAGACTGAGCCCAGGTCTGTGGACTCTTCAGTCCAGCGCTCTTTCCGTCTCAGTGCTGCGTTCCAGGCACTTGTTGGGACATCTCCTTCCAATGCTGTTTGCATTGTTTTCCCGGTGGGGTCCGAATTCTGCCGTTTCATCCTGTGGGGGGGTCCTGAAAGGCTTTTGCTCGGGGCTTCACACGCATTTGGACAGTTTGTGCTTTTCTGTTCCAGGTGAATAACAAAGTGGTGCACACTGACTTTCACCTGCGGGAGGAACCCATCAAAGTATCGCTTGTAATGGAATCGACTCTAACCAAATCCGTGTACTTTTGACATCAGGAAGAGCTTAAAAATAAGGACTGCCTTATAGTAGACTTTCTAAAGGAGGCTATGTAGCATGGTATAAATAGTTATCATGTTGCATTATTTCTGTCGGTAGTTGTACTTCTCCAATTTGTTTTTTATATGTATATATTCTAAGATTTAATTCCATTGATTTGGAACTTGTAAATACCTTGACTTTTTTTACTGATAATTTTTTTTCTGAACTGGACAGACGTCCAGCTGGATGTGTATACTGTTTTTTATCATGTGCTCCTGTTGCTAATTACCCCTCACCTCTCCACTCTCAATGGGATGTTGATTTTAAGGCTTCTTGGCTTAGTATTGAAGAACCGCCTTTAGGAGGTCTTCCTCTGGTTCACCTTATTTCACCCCCCCCCATGGATATCTGCAGCCAGAATGATCTTTTTGACCTCATAAGCCATCCTCAATTCTGACCTGTGTACCTCTGCATGTACTTTGTGCCTTTGATGCGTTCGTGTTTTCACCATGCCTGTTCTCCAGCTTTCTCCCTGCTGCCTCAGTACCTTTGAACTGCTGGCTTCTGCCTGGAACACTGTTCCACCCCGTGGAGTGAAGTCCTCCCTGTACCATGTGCTTTCTCTGTACCATGCATTCTTCAGGATGCAGCTTGGGGCCCAACCCACTGTGAAGAGAACCTGTGTGTAGACTGGTGTTTTTAGAGTAACAGACCGTGGACCGAGCGTGAGTTTCCATTGTAATTATGTTCTTATGTAACGGGGACTGTGTTTGGACCTCGGCTTCCGCATCTGTATAAAAGGAGATTTGGCTCAGCTGGCTGAGAACTCATCCCACCGGACCTCAGGGAACTCTGAAGTCTGAAAGGACTTGGCCACGAACGTCCTGCAGATGTAACTGTTCTTAAACACAGAAGTTCAAGGTGGCAGTTGCCTAAGACCGTTGGGCCTGTGTGAGAACGCAGGTGTGAGGATGCTGTGAAGACTGAAGCAACCCAGAATGTCCAGGCCTATCTCGATTTCAAGGATAGTCCTGTCCTTTTTGGTTAATGTGATTCCTTAAGCATACATACATGTAATTTAACTTTTAACCGTTTGAGTTCCGATGTTTGGTATTGATGTATAACTTTAATTTTTATATAGAGCATTAAAATGTTTCCTTGGCTCATAAATTACGAACATCAGGTGAGCCTTCCCACTCACTTGCATTTCGAGGGTTTCCAGGTACAGGGGCCCCTTCCAGGGGTTGGCAGCAGCTGTAATTTCCTGGGAGAGGTTAAGGGACTCGTTCCTAGTCACAGCATGTGGTGCAGCTGGGAGTCCAAGGCAGGAGCTGACACAAGACAGGGAGTGTGAAGTGACCAAGGAAAGCTATATAGATAGAATGGTATGGTGGACAGAAGGGGCACACCATTTAACTGAGGGAATGAGAGCTTCAGAACAAAAGAGGGAAACATGATTTTGGAACATTGCTCCAAACATTGCTGTTGGATGATTAGGTATCAGACAAACAGTGAAGAGGAGCAAGGAGGAAGTCTGATTAGAAAGGGAGGTGGGAGGATGCCCGGGATGAACTTGATGCCCGGGATGAACTTGATGCCCGGGGCCAGGTAGGTGCCCCATATTCTCTCAGCTTCCAATCAGCACAGGCCTCTCCTAGTCACCCAATGCCGTGTGCAGTATACTCCAAAAAACTACAGTCCCTAGCATAATTTTATATTTGAAAAAAAATTTTAAGCCCAGTTTTTAGTTAGTTTTTAAATACAAACCCTAGAAACCAAAGTTTGCAAAAGGAGGGCTCTGAGAATTTTGCTCATCAGCAGTGGACATGAATAAAAGATGCTGGGGGAACTCGTGCCGAGGCCCCTGGAGGCCGCAGATGGGGAGGAGGACACGGGGCGGGAGCTGCAGATCCTCTCTGACAGGTGCCGCAAGGGGTTGTCACCCACACTTACTGTCACCCTTACTGTCACTAGAGTACACTTTCTGACTTTGGGCCAAGAATTTTCACCATGAGGATCAGTTGTCAAGGACAAAGTTATTTTGTGGGGGGAAACCTTAGTGTCTTGTGGAGACACTAGCACGGAAGCATAATTACAGGGCAATGTCCTGGTTGGTATAAGGGTGGAAGCTATCCTTCAGACCACGGTGTGCGGGGGATGGTTTCTGAGTGTCCAGAAGGCCCTCCAGAGCAGTCCTGCAGTGACAGAAAACTGTCCTTAAAAACCCACCGCTCCATTTTCACAGAGTTATTTCTAAGTCTTGTACTTCTCGTGAGCGCCAAAATGTCTCCAGATACTTCCAGCAGTTTCTCAGAATGCTGAAAGCCATGCCCCTAAGTTTACTCCTTTTCTTCTGTCAGTTTTGTTTAAAAGCAGTGGGGTTTTGCGTCAACTTCAGAGTAACCTGTGTTCCTCAGAACATTTCAAAAATACTGAATAATGAGGAAATAACCAACTGAGTTGCTGTATTTGTGTATCCGTGGTTCTCACCCTGGCTGCACATTAAAATCTCAGGAGCTACTTTTTAAAGTTACTGCTTTTGGAGAGAGAAAAACATTGATCTGTGTTCCATCCATTCATCGACTGCTTCTTGTACGTGCCCTGACCAGGATGGAGTGGCAAACCTTGGCGTACAGGGGTGAGGCCCCCCGCCAACTGAGCTACTGGGCCAGGAATCTCAGGAGCTATTTTTAAAAGTCAGATTTTCTTGGTTTGGAGTTGGGCATGTTTCAAATCTCTGCGAATGACCTAAGTGCAGTCAGGTTTGAAACCTACAGAATAATTATTAATAATTTGGCAATTTACAAACATCTTTTAATGTATACTTTAACTCCTTAAAAATAATTGCCCTCATCCTCTGATTCTCCTTTATAACATAGAATTTTAATTATTTTTAATGGTTGTATAGTGTCGATGGAATAAATTTTTATTAACTAACCTATATATGCAATAAAAAAAGATTTTATTTTTAGAGAGGGGAGGGGAGGGAGAAAGGGAAACATGATTGGTTGCAACATTGGCCTGGGAAACCAATCTGCGACTTTTTCTTTTCCACGACCACCCCAACCTGCTGAGCCACACCAGTCAGGACGGATTTGGCAATTTTTAAGCGCGCGCGCGCGCGCACACACACACACACAAATCTCACGTATGTGTGCAGTCTTGTTCTTTTTATCTTTAAGGAAAACTTCCCACCAGTGAACTTTCAGAATCTGAATTACGTTCAGCTAAACTGTCCTCCCCCAAAACGAAAACAATTTCCGCACCTTTTGTACATCAAACATTTAGATTTACGGGGTCCAGCAGCTTGGGTGAGGGACCCGCGCAATTTCTCAGGTCAGTACAAAAGGCGGGGAAAGAGCTGGAGTCTGATTGGCCGGCTGGCTTCCTGCTAGCGTTCTCAACCCGAGAACGGTAGGAGGTCCAAGAGCCCGCCAACCCCAGAGCGGCACACCGCCCAGCGAGAACCTGGGCGCCCCTGCTGGCCGCGCTCCAAGAGCCCGCGCCAGCGCCAGCGCTTGCGCCGTCAGCCCGTCTCCAGGAAGGAGAAAGCCCGCCCCATGAAGGAGAAAGCCCGCCCCACAACGCTCTCTCGGGCTCCGCCCTCTTTCCGCCAAGCTTTTGTTGTCATTGGCTGGCGGCGGGGTATATAAATACGTCATTTCCGCCGCTCTGTCTTTTTCCGCGCTACCAAGGGAAGGGCCCGTACGGCGTTGTTCTCGGTGAGTCCCATGTGAAGTTCCCCAGCGTTCCGCAGGGCCGCTTGAACTACCTTCCTGCTCGCACCCGGGGTGCGAGGACCGGGGCTGAAGGCCTGCAGACAGGGCGGGTCTGGCTGGGATCGGTGCGCCCCGCCGCGGATCCGCGGCTTGCACGTGGCTAGTCCGGGCCTTCAGGTTCCCACAATGCCCCACGATCGGTGGGAGGTTGCGCTGGAGCCCAGGCCCGGAGCTGCGGAGCGGCCCAAACTGCTGGTGAGCGCGGGGTTAGGAAGGGAGGGGGCGAATGCACCGCGCTGCTGTTGCTTGGGACCCGGACACTGGCTTAGTGAAGCCAGGGCCCCAGGCGCCACTGCTCTTGGATTTTTCCCATTGGTGTTAAAGTTCTTGGCAGGGTTCTGAAGAAAACCAGTTGGGAATGCAGGGAGACTTAAATCCGACGTGCCCACCTTCAATCTCTTTGAATATAAATCTGCTCCCATCTCTACGTCTGCTCAACTTAATGTACTGCAACGTGGCTGGTCTCACAACTGGTGGGTTTTCTTGCTCATCTGTAACTTCAACTTTTGGGTACCTTGAGAAGTGTTTAGACTCAATTCACTGCTTTCATCTAGTTTAGTAACTGGTTTGTCCATCTCCATACCTTCTCAGCAAGATTTGCTGCAGTCGTGTGTAATGTAGTCTGTGCAAACATGTCTCATCCCGCTAAACTGTAAGTGCAACCTAGCGGGGCATGCGTCTGTGTCCCAACCCCTCTGGCACGGAAAGGACTAGATTCTTAACTATTGTTTTTCAGGTTCCCACGTAACTTAAAGGGAAACTTTCACAATGTCCGGAGGCCTTGATGTCCTGCAAATGAAGGAGGAGGATGTCCTCAAATTTCTTGCAGCAGGAACCCACTTAGGTGGTACCAACCTTGACTTTCAAATGGAACAGTACATCTACAAAAGGAAAAGTGACGGTCAGTCGTGGCTGTAGCTCCCCCCCCCTTCCAATTACAACTTTCAGGACAAAGTGTGACCCTCCTTGTTATGATGGGTGATGCTGGGTGAAGTAATTTCTGTATCTGCCTTGGAGGGCTCTCTACTAAATAATCAATGACACCAGGTCCCTCAATTGGAAACAGGCTTTAATACTGAAAGTGTTCCAGTTTTGTTTGGAAGGAAAGGCTTCTGGGCTCCATGGGAAGAGTGTGGCATTAGCTAGGTTGTGGGACTCCAGTGGGTCACTAAGGAGATGTGACAGGAAGATGATGAGGAAGTTCCCAGTAACTTCCCTTCCATAGTCCCATATTCACAGGGACTGATATAGGTTCGTTCAGCTGCATTCTGAGGGAAGTAGAGCAAGAGATGGGAATAAATGAGGGAAGGGGTTGCCACAAGAGTACAGGTGGTGGGCAGAGATAGAGCCACTGACAGATTGAGCGTCAGAGTAGGGTGCTGACAGGGGTTTGGGGGTGAATTTGGTATCAAGGCAGAGAGTGGTGAGAGGCTAGGAAGTGGGCAACAGCTTGCAGAAATCTAAATGGGGGCCTGGAGGAGGGTTACCACAGGGGAAGAAGGTGCACTTGGCCTGCTGAGTGAGGGCTGCACACTATTAAAGCTCAGGGTGGAGGCCAGTCTTGGCCAGTGAACTTCTGAGTGTCGGAAGTGTGCTACAGTAACGGCAGGGTGTTCGCTAGCACCAGTAGAGCCTGCCTCTGTGACTGGAGTTTGATAGTGCTCTCTGCCACATTCGGCTGTTAGAAGAATGTCCACTTGGAGAGCAAGGTCAGGTGCTAAAGCCTTTTCTGTGGCTAGGCATTTACATCATAAATCTGAAGAGAACCTGGGAGAAGCTCCTGCTGGCAGCTCGAGCCATTGTTGCCATTGAAAACCCTGCTGATGTCAGTGTCATTTCGTCCAGGAACACCGGCCAGGTCTGTAGAGCAAGATGCTTGGCTTTTATTACAAAAAATAAAGTGTGGGCATTCTGGGATGTGCAGAAAGGTGTGAACATAGCCTCTCTGTATGGAAGTGTTGAGTTGCCAGTTCTTGACTTTTGCAGTGTATGCACCACTTGGCACCTGACGGTCTGTTGAGCTTCGTTTTCGTGTTGCATATATGCTTGTGCCATTGAATGTCGAGAAATGCCCTATTAAAATGGCTCATCACGTGTTACTGTAATCAGGTTTTTTTACATTTAAATAAGTACTGGGTCAAAAAACCTGACGGCAGCCGTGAGGTTTTCAGAAGGGTTTTGTACGCGTGCGGTACTAGTCTCATCAAAGTCCCATTAGCAAGAGTAAGAGTGTTTACCAATCAACCTCAGTGAAAAATGGCTTTTTTAAAAATGGCTGGTGAGATTTCAAAAACCTTGTCTCTATTTTGACATTTCTTTGTGCTCTTTCTTTGAGAAAACTCATGGGTTTCATAATAATTGATGTATAAAGAGCTCCAACAAGGATTTTATTCATCCTGTTTCTAATTTAAAAACAAAAACCACACAAACTTGACTTGGATTTTTAATTTTAGGTTTTGGGGATTTTTTTGACTTGGATTTGAACAGAGCTTTTAAATTCACGTGGGAGAATCCTTTTGTATTTTGTCGTTTAGATTGAGGTTAAAACTAGGTCCTGTTAGCTTCTGGTGTGTTGGGTGGGCGGGGTGTTGGTTATTCTCCAGAGTCTGGCTTGGGGCTGGACCCTTCCAGTTTGGCACATGGTAGAGGCAGGACACTGCTGTGGAACAAACTCGGTGACCACTCGTGCTTCCCTCAGCAAAAATGTACTAAGCTTCTAGATTGATCTGGGCAGTGTTACTAGATGCTTGGGATATGATGGAAAGAGCCAGCCTGCGTTTGGGAAGAAAAAGGTGAGGGGGAGGGTAAAGAAACCTGGGTGCTGTTCGCTTTATTTGGAGTAGCTATGAGGTTATTGGACCAGATGCTGGGGGTGTTGTGGTTTACAATTAGCATGCACTGTTGTACTGATTCACTGAATTTTCTAACCCTCTGGGGAACTTGGAGGCACGTGAGTAGCTTGCCCAGGTCGCTCACCGAGTGGCCTTGCTTGGTACCACAAGTCAGGCAGTGTGGCTCCATCCTCCAGGAGCAAGGAAGCCTGTGAGCCAAGGCAGCCGAGGGAGGTCGGGATGGGGGTGCGATCGTGTGTGTTTCTTTGGCTTTGGTTTGTAAGTACATCTCAGAATGTGGAGGACAGAAGAATTACTGTAATTTGATGCGTTCTGACCAGATGGGCTGCTTGGTGTGGTTATGGAACTGTTGGCACATTCACCTCTGGAAGATTCTGTGGCTCCGCCTTTGAGGGCACTGCTAACTCTCAATGTTGTTGATTCCTCAGCGAGCGGTGCTGAAGTTCGCTGCTGCCACTGGAGCCACTCCCATTGCCGGCCGCTTCACTCCTGGCACCTTCACTAACCAGATCCAGGCAGCCTTCCGGGAGCCAAGGCTTCTGGTGGTTACCGACCCCAGGGCTGACCACCAGCCTCTCACCGAGGCATCCTACGTTAACCTGCCCACCATCGCTCTGTGTAACACGGACTCTCCTCTGCGCTACGTGGACATTGCCATCCCTTGCAACAACAAGGTAACTGCCGTCTGATCTGCACTAGGTCTGGGGAAGGAGCACTCGGGAAGCAGTTGGGCGCGCCTCTGCACATTGTTAGAGCTTGGAGTCGAGGCCGTTGGTGGCCCATGGAGTCACAAGTGTAGGTAGTGTGCTACACGAGGGGCAAGGTTTTCGCTAACACCACGAGGGTCTCTGGCCCCATGAGTGGAGTTTGATAGTGGTCCTTGCTACAAGCGCGATGAGCGTGCATGAGAGCTTCAAGGAGAGATGAAAACATTGGAAAAGTGGTGTTTCCCCCTGCTTCTTTCCATTTTTCTTGCACTACTTGGGCCTCTCAGGCATTGCTTGGCCTTCCTGTTTTCAGACCAGCTTGATGAAGCCTGCTGTAAGATCGTAAAAAGGTGGGTTACATATGGCTCAAGTTGGTCCAGTTTGTCACTGGTCTCAAAACCCTGGTTGCACATAAGAATCATCCAGAGATTTCAAACAAACATAAAAACTAGTGTCCAGGCACTGATCCCAGTGGGTATTTCATTTGTTGCTTAGGGTGGAGGCTTGACCATAGTACTTTCTAAAGCAGCCAATCAGGTTGAGAATCACTGATGTCTGGAACATTAACCCTTCTTATTGTAAATGCTTTTATACGAAGAGGCATGTCTATTCTCTTGATTCCAAGGACCTAGATGATGTGGGGGCAGGTTAGGTGGGATGGGGTGGTACTTACTACTATCCTGGCACTCTTGCAGGGGGCTCACTCAGTGGGTCTGATGTGGTGGATGCTGGCCCGGGAAGTTCTGCGCATGCGCGGCACCATCTCCCGCGAGCACCCGTGGGAGGTCATGCCTGATCTCTACTTCTACAGAGACCCCGAAGAGGTGAGCTTCCTCCCTAAAGGCTTATGGTCGCGTACGCAAAGTGGGCACCTTGGTCTGTGCTTCTGGGAAGTAAAATTTGTTGGTCCCTGTAAACTTATTTTTTTCTAAAAACCAGATTGAGAAGGAAGAGCAGGCCGCTGCTGAGAAGGCTGTGACCAAGGAGGAGTTTCAGGGTGAATGGACGGCTCCAGCTCCCGAGTTCACCGCGGCTCAGCCCGAGGTCGCGGACTGGTCGGAAGGCGTGCAGGTGCCCTCCGTGCCTATTCAGCAGTTCCCTACTGGTACGTGTGGTGGCACGGGTGCATCAGCCTGGCGGTTTGGGGCATCTCTGTAGTCTAACGTGAATGATCTCCTTGGCTGTATTAAAAGGTTCGTCCTGTATGCTATAGCTGTGCTAATCACTTGACAGGTCGAATGCAGGTGCATTTGAATTGATCGGGTCTTGGGCTGTTCTTGAAATTGTGTCTGGCAGAATGCAGGCAGATCAGATGGCTGGTGGTGGTGAGGTGACTAATATACCGCAGGAACAGAGCTCATGGGTGTGTTTTTGGTATTTTTTAACAGAAGACTGGAGCGCTCAGCCTGCCACTGAAGACTGGTCTGCGGCCCCCACTGCACAGGCCACGGAGTGGGTGGGAACCACCACTGAGTGGTCCTAAGCTGGTCTTCCACAAACTCTTACCAGAATGGAAGTAAGGTTGATGGAAAATAAACAGTTTCTAAAAGTCGTGTTCATGTATTTCAGTTTTTTATTCCAGATCAAGATGTCTGGGACTACCTCAGGTCTCCTGACATCAGAAAAAGTCCTCTGTGGGCACCTTACACGGGCGTTTCCCAGAGCGCCCTTTTTGCGTGAGAATGCTCTGCTCTGCAAGTAGACGTGAGTAGCTGCCCACGTGGTGACTCTAGAAATACTTTCCCAAGAACTTACATTAACACCTGTATTGGTGAATTCTGTCCAGTTCAGATTTTGAAGTAAATTGGTGTTCATTGACAGCCCCTGCTATTCGTTTGCCAGTTGTGTGGCTGATGTATGAGTGACGGCTGTCATTGAAGACCCTTCTTGAGCAAAGGTGGGATACAGTCTTCAATCCTGGACCCACTGAAGGGGCCACAGCCTTCCCCAACTTTGAGAGACATCTGTCTCCTGTCACCTGGTCAGCTTGTCTACAGGTTCCGGGAGAGAGTTATGCAAGTATAAGAATTTCATGTAATACTATATATAATCCCAATATTTGCCATTTCCTGTGCATTTTAATTGTATTAAAAATGTGACCGTGTCAGTACCTCTTGGTCTGTTGAAAACCATGGTCTTGAATGAGAATGGAGGAATTAAATAGGGTGGGTCTGGGGTTTGAGGAACTCCAAAGATTTACATCAATTCGCTCATTTTGCCCTTGGAAGATTTACAAAATGTCCCTGTGACAACATTCTCGGGGCCCCTTACCAGTGGTGCAGGGAGTGAGGGGACCCCACAGGCTCAAGCATCATAGCAAGTTGGCCACCGGCAGGCAGTGTGCAGGAGCAGATGTGGACGAAGCTGCAGTGTGCGTGGAGCTAGGATACCGTGCAGGTGATCAGCAGCAATGATTTCTGGAGCAAGCGTGGCTGAAAGCGGAGAGGGGGCTGAAGGAAGGGAGGAGGCCGGGTATAAGAACCGAGAGATGCAAAGCTCATCTATTAGCATGTTCCGGGATGGAGGAGGAGGCTGTTCAGGGACAAAGGAACAGGAGAAAGCTGGCAGTTCATCTGTGGAAAATGCATCCTGTTAGCACAGACCGATGTGAAGAGTTAAGAGCTCCGACCTGACCAGGTGGCTGGGTGAAGGAGCGTCATCCCATCCATCAAAGTCATGGGTTCGATTGTGGGTCAGGGCACTTGCCAGGTTGTGGGTTTGATCCCCGCTTGGGGCGCATATGGGTGGCAACTGATTGATGTTTCTCACATTGATTGGCCTCTTTTCCTCTGTAAAATATGCCCCCGGGTAAGGATTAACACAAAAGACAGTTCTCATCTTTTGAAGATGATTCCCGTTAGTTGGGTCCTGCTTCATTGTGCATGTTTATTGTATCCGATCTGAGCAGTAATCCGAGGCAGGGCCCCCCCACACAGCAAAGCGCTGACCTGTGACCCAAACCCTCCGTGACCGACTTCGGTCGGGCTCCTCTGAACCCTGTGCCAAGCTGGGCCTCGACCTAGGCAGGCCTTTAGTCCACCTTTGCATCATTCCATGTTAACAAGAGTCCAGCTTCATTTTAGCAAAAACCCCCACCCCTGGTACCTGACTGACTTCCTCATCCCCACTCCTCCCCAGGTGATGTCTGATCCCCCCTCCTCCCCTCCCCGACTTCAGCAAGAATCCTGTCAGGATGGTTTAGCTGGAAATCATTACCCTGGTATTTTCCCTTAGTAATTTTCCATTCACCGACCCCCTCAACCTCCTGGGCTATCAGTCCCCACTGTCCCTGTTGTATTTGGAACCGAGCCCTGTGTGACACTGAAGTCTTTCCTCCTGCTGGAATGACTGCTGAAGAAAACGTGTGTTGAACACTAATTACTGTTCAGCTGTGGTTTTCTTTAACACAACACATCAATACATTCCCTTCTCTAATGGTGATAAGTACAGTAGGGAAAGCCCAGGAGTCGGGCCTGGAAAGTCGGATGGGAGAAGCATGTCACCTAAAGAGTGAATTTTAACCCAGTGGATAAAATCCAGTCCCTTAAGTAACAATGTACATAACTCTACAGGTCACCAGGGCCAGAACACAGTTGTGGCTGGACCCAAGCATGAGAGAGGGACAGAGACAGAGTGGGGAGAGGCTGGGCTTGGAGCCTGGGAACACAGCGGGGCTTTGTCTGAGCCGCCAGCAGCTCGGTTGGTGTATTCCTCTTTACCAAAGTTGGGGTCTGTGTAGCTAAAAATCTGTAAGGTCAAGTCGAAGTCTTGAAAGAGACAGACTGGCTCTGAAAGTGAAGGATGAAAGGCCAATGAAGAACCATCTCAGTTTGTTTCATATTTGATCCATTCACTCTATGCCTTGAAATAAATGGTCTTATAGGTATGTATAAAACTCATTTTCATATTTCTATAGGAAAAATAGCATTGTTATGAATGTGAAAATCTTTAGCCTGTTTTTGTTAATCTTTCTAATCAAAACCCAGTTTTTACAGCACCCAGTTTGACACACGTTTGTTAGGTAGACAGTAATCGTGTAATTCTGGCTGTGGCTTCGCGTACGTGCACGCTTTCAGGTGAGATGCTGGAGATGGCGTTCTCTCTCTGGTGTCATGCTAGTTTTCAGCGAACTCCATAACAAAACAATTGCTTAACATGCCCTCCAGTCCTTTGTCATGCCTGAATCTCTCTGAGTGCATATAAAATGCTGTAATGTTTTATTGCGAATGAGTATCGATTTACTTTTGTGTGTTTTATTCTTAAGGGGATGAAAATGTTATACAATTAGATAGTGGTAATGCTTCCACAGCCCTTAAATATATTTTAAAATCTCTGCATTTTACACTTTAAAATTTTGAGTTTTATGGTACACATATGAATTACGTTTCAATAAAAACAATGACTTTTTGGTTAAAAGTGGCCAGATGAATGACACATGCTTATTTTTTCTACTCTTCCAAAAACTACTAAAATTATAGTAGTAAAATATGTTTAAAAGGAAAAGAATTAAAAATACAGGGGCAGAAGAGAATTCTTTTATTATTTCTATCCCAAGGACTTTTTTTCCCCAGTGCTTTTAGAGAGGGAGGAAGGGAGAGAGACATCGATCGGTTGTCTCCCGTATGTGCCCGGGATGCGTGCACCCGGACGGGGAAATCGTCAGAACCTGGACTGGGGATTGAACCCACAATCTAGGTATGTGCCCCGATTGGAAATCAAACCTGTAACTTTTTGGTTATGGGTCAATGCTCCAACCTAATGAGCCACACTGGCCAGGGCGAGAATATGTAAAAATGTTTTAACGCTCTAAGAAAAGGAGACAGCGAAAGATGATGGGCAGAGGACGGTCATTGACCCGGCAGTGTGGAGGAAGTTCCCGTTTACATCCCTGCAGAGGTGGTGCCTGAGAAAAGCAGGTGAAAAGTGTGTGTCGGACGCCTGGTGTGCTGCTCGTGTAGTGCCAGGCAGAGCGGGGGACGGGGCTGAGGCCTGGGGAAGCGGCACATCCCGAGCAGATTCTCGGGTTCAGTGCTCTGACCACCGACCTTGCTCTGACCACTGGAAGTCCGTTAGGAAGAAATTTCTAGAATCAGACACTGGGGATCTGGGGTGATGGGCAGGACTTTAGAAAAGGGACACGCCCACATATTCATGTGGGTCCCTTGTCTACCCTGACCACCCAATACCACTAGCAAGGAATTCAGACTCCCTCACCTTCCCTGCCCCTGCCACGCTAGAAGCGGGTGGCTCTTCCTGAAGACAGGGAACCGTTGGGGGAGAATCTTCCAGCTACTTGGATGGTGAGGTCTGCCCGAGTACAGGCCGCATGGCTGCCCATCACAAAATTATTAATCTACTTAAAACATTATGAGATGTTTTTGGTGATTACCTGTCACAATGTATTTAACATGTGGCCCAAGACAGCTCCTCTTCTTCCAGGGTGGCCCAGAGATGCCAAAATGTTGGACACCCTTGAAGGTGGGACTTCACAAAATTTGCCATTAAGGACTGTTGTGGGAAGGTTTGAGAAGCAGAGAAGTCTTTGAGTGCAGATGAATCTTTATAATCTACCCCCTCTATCTTGCACTTTTTAAATAACCTGAATTCACCAGAGGGAAGGGGGGGGGGAGGTGGAAGAGGGTAGAGGGGAGAAATGGTGATGGACGAGACCTGACTTGGGGTGGTGAGCACACAATACAATATACAGAGGATGTGTTATAGACTTGGACACCTGAAACCTATATAACTTTATTAACATGTCACAGCAATACATTGAATTTAAAAATAAAATTAAATTTAAAAAAAAAAGCCTGTCTTCGTCTCCAGTTGTTTTCTGAATAGGAAACGTGTCCTTACAAATGTTTTGCAAGCTTCTTCAGGGCCGGAACCACAATAGCTAACATTGATGCAGCGCTATGTGCCAGGCACGGTGGCAACCAGTGTGACATCCTAGCTGCCTTAGTGACCCTGCCCGAGCCCTCCAGAGCCCCTGCTCTGTGAGCCACCTTGCTCTGCTCCCCCCTGTTGCACAGCCATGCAGCGGCAGGAGCAAGGCGCCGCCCCACAGCCGGAACTAGCGGACCGGCAGGCTGTAGATAGAACTCGTTACCCATATCAGGGCTGTTTCATTAGCCGTGAAGTTAGTGCACAGTGAGATTGATATTGGATGTTTTCAGTTTCCTTACATTGCCTCCTCAAAGTCCTCTAGGATGATTCCTTTTTGCATGTACTGTGACAAGAGCCTAAAAGGAAACTTTATGACACTGTTGGCATTAATGTCTCCCCGTCATGCAGGGAGCTATGGGGATGGAAGAGGCAAGGCTGCTGTTGGTTGGAGTGGTTTCAGAAATGCCCTTTCATCTTTCCGATCATTAGTATGTAGTGCTACGCATATGCGATGAAATTTAGCAGAAAACACTGGGTTGCAGGACCAGGAAATTTAACAGACGCACACGGTTATAAGACTCAATGGTGTGACCCCTAAATTCTAGGAAAATGATAAGAAAATGTCATGTCTAAGACTGAGGCCAATGTTACCATGTTAAGTAAATGAGATTTGCACTTTACAGAAATCACCTGCCATAAGAGATGGTTTTTAGAAGTTTTCACAAATGTGATGGCATGGTAGCTGTCCTAGAATTGTCCCGGTATCATCTCAGCGGTAACTAGACTGAGGTACTCTTGTTAAGTTGGGGGAGGGCACACGTGTGTGTATGCGTGTGTGTGTACAGAGAGCCTGTTAAGGAGGGTGGGTGCTTACTCTGAGTAGGGTATGGAAAGAATCCTAAAGGGAGGCATTTGCCAGGGTGATTCCGACTGTTCATGGCTTGTGGGGTTGGCTTGTGTGTGGCGTGGTGGAGTTGGGATGGCGGCTGTGGTGGGTGGCTCATTGGCAGAACGGTGTGTGGTATGGCTGGACCTGGGGTGTGGTTTGAGGCAGCGTGGGGAAAGGGCCTGGGGGAGGCGGTTGGCACAGGGCATTACCGTATTTTGCTGTGTATAATGCACACTATTTTTTGCCTAAATTTTTGAGGGAAAAATAAGGATGTGCCTTATACATGGGTATAAGGAGCACATAACCCCGTGCATGGTGTGCACCAAAACGCAGGTGTTGTACAGAGCAGAACTCCGGTGGGTGGGGTGTGGGAGGTGGGGTGAGGGGGGTGGGAGACTGGAATGCGTGAGAACGTGGGTTTTCATGTAGCTACGGCTTGTGTGTGTGTGTGTGTGTGTGTGTGTGTGTGTGTGTAATGTGGTTGTAACTTAGCTTTTGTTTAGATTTTCTTTTGCCCTTTGTCTTGGTCTTTGTTTGGCCTTTGTTTTTGTCTTTGTTTCACTCTTTGTTTAAACTTTCTTTGGCTTTTGTTCGGTCTTTCTTTAGCCTTTTGTTTAAACTTTGTGTGGTCTTTTTGTCATCTTTGTGTAGCTTTTGTTTTTAAGTGAATCTCGGCGGAGGGCCCATCAAAAACACCTTGTGTAATGAAAACCCGGGATATATAACCTCTCCCTATATATTCCACACGCACCGAGTAGCTTCAAACTCCCCAGGGACCTGGCACGGCCGCAGAACCAGGTTCACCCCACTGCTGCTCCACGGTAAGGGGATTCCATCGGTTTTCATCTTGCTTCACGTTGCAATTCGTCTCCAAGCGGCAAGTGCACACTCGTGTGTGGGCCATTTCGTTATGTCCCAGGGGAAAGCTGCTGTTGTAGCAGCCAAGGTCGGGGGCACCTAAGAGGATGGAGAAAACAAGAACTGAGGACACCAACCGTTATTTTCTGATGCAGGTGGAGGGCCCTCCTGGAATGGTCTGGCAAATGTTTGGAAATCGTCTGAGCCCGGGAAAGGGCTCCGAACCCTAACCCAGATTCCAATCTAAAGCCCCCTGTCCCTGCAGCTAGATCCATGGCACGATTGGTTTTTTTTTTCTCTCTCTCTCTTCTTTTATTATTTATCATGATTTGAAAATGCATTTTTTCTTACCTAGGAACAGCGCCTCCCTTCACACAGCGGGGCTTGTGTGTGGGGAATACTAATGGGGCAACACAGCCCCAGTCCTGACAGATTTTTTGCTCCCTCGAAACCATAAATGGGAAGACAGTCATGCTTCGTCTTGAACAGATGCTCAGAAATGACAGATTTTTGGTTTGGGTTTGTTTTCAGTTTTATGGCTGAGAAAGGAAAGAAAAGATAGTGTCCGAGGGGAACAAAGTCATGAATGTGGCTGAAGTAATAGGAAGAAAATGGGGAAAAGACTTTAATGCTTTGTGAGCAAATCAGGGAGGCAGAAAGCAGACCACTGCCTGATGGGCAGCTGTGCAAGTTCATGTTCATTCTGCAGAGCAGGAGTGTGCCTCGGTGAGCGGATTGCAGAATTCTGTTACAGTTACAGAAAAATTGTAAGCAGTCACAAATTCCAGATGTAGCCAGGTCACTCAAATTCTGACATGTTCCTACATTTGCTTTATTATCCTTTCTCTCTCTGTGTGTACACATATGCATCTTATTTTTTTCTGAGCCATTTGAACTTAAATGACAGACATAATCACAATCAGAGACTTAACATAAAGAAAACAGTATTGTCTAATCTACAGACAACTAGATTTCACCAGTTATCCCAGAAATCAGCCCAGGATCACGCATCTCCATTAGCAGTGATCTCTCTTCAGTCTCTGCAAATCTGGAACAGTACCTGAGTTAGTCATTCTCTTTCACGCCTTGACAATTTTTGGAGGGTTACTTTGTTAAATGTCCCTCAGTTTGGGTTTGGTGGGATGCTTTCTCGTGATTCGGTCCAGATTATGCAGTTTTAGAAGGAATACGCTTGCGTTTTGGATCATATATATCCAAAGTCATAACTGAATTTGATTGTACAAACTTTTAATTAATTCAAGGTCTTGTTTACCTAATGTAACTTGGACTTTAAGTGAGTACCTACAGTCTTACAAGGAAAGGCAAAACATTTAAAAATCTAGAGCTTTTTATGAGTACTTCTCAAATATTCACCAAAAGTAAGTGCTGTCATTTATTTATAAATGGTAATTACAGTGATAGTACATGAACTTGATGGGTGTGTAGTGAGGTATGTAAGCTGGTTTCTCTGTGTGTGTTGGGTTCTAGCCTACTACTCTATGAACATTCGTGTCATGAATGGGATAATTCCTTTCTAAGCAAGACCATCTGCTGAAAACAGTCCCTCTTCAAAAAAGAGCTGTCCCGCATCACCACCCCAGGCTCTCTGGCTACCTTTGGCGTGCTGACAGAGTGCCTGGTAGAAAGAGCTTTCATTTTGTTTGCTTCTAAGTGGGAAAACTTCTGTTTGGAGGTGGCTAGCAGTTTTATCATTCTTAAAATGGGTTCTTTAGATATGCAAATACAAAGCATCCATCTTTTTTTTGTCCAGAGAAAATGCTGAAGTCACCATAAATCCAAATAAGGGGGAGTTGATTAATTTGTTATATGATCTTTGTAGTTAAGTGAATGTATTATGGCTTTAACAGGACTGTTCCTTGGATGAAGCAGATCAATATTTTCTTTACTAAATATGAAACCAGATTAGAAGTTTGGGGTTCGGCACCTGGTGCTGTGTAATGTTGATGAACTCAGCTTTTGGGAGAATGAGGCATTAGCTGTTACGATGGCCTTACCTGGGCCATAGGACTCACCTGAAAGATTGAGAGAGTGTTCCCCACTTGAAGGATTCTGTGTTCCCACGACAAGCGCTTGCAGGGTGAAAATAAGGGCCCCCTTCTCTCACTCAGTCAACAGAACTGGGGGCCAGGGAACAGCAGTGTTGGAGGGCCAGGAGAGCCCTGTGGACGGAGTTGAGCTGCTTTCCACGACCCCCAAGTCGGCTTAGGTTTCACTGTGGGGACTCCGGGAGGCACCTCTTGGCTGGGCTGCGAAGGCCTCTCTGGATTCTGGTGCTTCTGTTCTAAGGCAGTAGGTAAAAACCTGGTGTTATCTGTTCCTGGTGGTTAAGGGACCAATATGTTTCAAACTGTACTTCGTAGTTTGTTTTTATCTAAGCGTGGTGAGGCCAGCGATCAGGTGACTGCCATTACAAAGATAGTTTGTTACTCAAAGTTCCCAGGAGGAGAGGATAAGCTGGACCATGTAGGGTCAGATGGGGAAGCAATAGAGTCGGAGTTGGCCAGGAGCCAGAAGGACCTAGGAAAGCATGGGCAACAGACTGTCATACCTGTGCAGGGACACAGAAGCCAGGCAGGGGCAGCAGGGAAGGCGGGTTTAGGATGGGTGAGCTGAAACAAGTTCAGCGGGCTCTGGGGTGGAAGGCCTGTCCTGACCTTGGGGGATTAGAATGGAGGGATATTGGCTCAATCTATGGGAGCTTGATAGAGAAGGTAGTTGGTGAGTTCAGGCTCTGGATTGGTTGGTTTGCATGAAAAAGGCACACTCAGGAGGGTGTCATTTGCTGTCTGTAGGAATTAATTAGCTTTGGGAGGGGCAGCCTCTCCAGGATCAGCAAGGCCCCAGATGCCAGGGCATTGAGAGTACAGAAAATACAGTTAACCAATAGTCAGTGTCCACTTACAGAATGAATGGGCACAGGGAAAGGAAAGCAGCATTTAGACTCTGGAACAACGGCATTTAAGAGTCAGGACATCTCATTCAGACAGGTTCATGGAATGTGTATCCATTTCTAACGGGAGTCCACAAACTGATGATCAGAACGGAGGGATGGATCTTCAGTGATCCAGCGCAATGGGTATATTAGTTTTATACGGATGTGTAACAAATTACCACAAACTTAGTGTCTTGAAACTGTATCGATTTGTTCTCTCACAATTCTACACCAGGTCCAGGAGACTTGGTTCTCTGCTTAGCATCTCACAAGGCTGAAATCAAGGCGTTGGCCGGCTGGGCTCTAATCTGGAGCCTCTGGAGGAGACACTACACGCAGGCTTGTTCAGGGTGTTGTTGCAGGATTCATCTCTGGCAGCTGTGGGATTCAGGTCCCTGGCCCCTCCAGCCCCTCTCTTTTCCAGCCAGCAGCGGTGGGCGGAGCTCTATTCCTGCTCCCAGGTCTCTGTCATGCTTCTCTGATTCCAGCTGGAGAAAGTTCGTAGCTTTTTAGGGCTCATATGATTAGATTGGGCCCACCAAAATAATCCAGGATTATCTCCATATTTTAAGGTCTACAACCTTAATTACATCTGCAAAAAGTTCCTTTTGCCATGTACATATTCACTGGTTTCAGCAGTTGGGATTTGGAAATGGGTTGGGGGTGCATTTTGCCTGCCACAGGGGGGTTATGATTAATGTAAATGCTGAGCACTTGATTAAGGTGGTATTTGCCAGATGTCAATTCCATTATGAAATTGCTGTTTTTTCTCTTTAATGAATAAATATATATGGGGGGGAGTATTTTGAGACAATGCGAATACCTTGTTTCTCCTGAAACTTTCCCATGCTAATGTTCGCACCCACTGGTGAAAGTTGTTTGCAGAAATCATCACTGCAGCTTTTTCCGACAGTGACTTTCTACTTCTGCCATGGCTGCTCCTTTTTTTAAGTGGCATCATTCTTCAAGGAGGAGGATTTCTTTCTCCCCATTCCTTTATTTATTCAGTTATTTATTTATTCCAGTTTGCGTCCAGCGGCAGTTGTTTTATTCTTCCGTTTATAATGCAGTACCATCGTTATTTAATTTCGTGCCCCAGTGGTTTTGCCCACTTGGGCGCCCTTCCAGGTCGGCTCCACTGCACTTTGGACACGTGCTCGCCTGTGATGAGCTCTCTCTTACTTTCCGTTTGCATTACGGTTTGCTCCAGGATCAGCTTCGTTTTCTCTGCCTTAGCCTGAAGTCAACCACTTCCTTAAAAAGCCCTGGTTCCTCTTATTGGACAAGGGTATTTAGAAACCATTGAGCACTACTAGGTGTATTCTTTGCCAGCGGGGTGTCCCATCTCCAAGCCCTGTACGTGGACACAGCTGGGAAGTGTGTGTGTTTGCTCATCTGTGCAGACTCACCTCTGTGTTTTTCTCTGTATCTCCAACCCGGTGCCCTCCAAGCTTCACCCCAGCACTCCTCTGTTCCTTATTTGTAACTTCATTCTCCGACAGAAAGAAACCTGCTTCTCATGATCTACAGTATATTTACTTATTTGCTCAACCCTAGTTTACATACGAAGTAGATTTAGAGCTGCTAATCTATACTCCCGTGAGAAACAAATTTACCAGCAATTACTTATTTTTCTCTTTAGATTTAAGTTATCCACTTAAAACATGATTTAAATTTTTTTTTAATTTTTAAAAAGGTTTTACTAATTTATTTTTAGAGATAGGAGAAAAAGCAGGAAGCAAGGGAGAGAAACTTCACCGTGTGTGGTTGCCTGTCCTGTGGTCCCCACTGGAGACCTGGCCTGCAACGGAGGCATGTGCCCTGACTGGGAATCGAACTGGTGACTCCCTGGCTCGTGTAGCCCACGCTCAATCCACTGAGCTACACCAGCAAAGGTTAAAACATGATTTTCCGAAGTTGTTTAGGTCCCCTCCTCCCTTTCCCACCCCCTCAGTGTGGTCACGTGATTACCTTGTGACCAGTCAGATTCATTTGTTACGGTCCGAATCCCACCCTGGATTGCCTCTCGTTCCCCACGTTCAGACTGATGTTTTTGTTTGATTTTTAAGAACTTTAAAAATAATTTTTAAAATGCGTCCTCTTGTCACCCATTCAGAACTTTAAAAATAATTTTTAAAATGCGTCCTCTTGTCACCCATTCTGTTCATCTTTCCCCACTTCTTTAATGTATCATGAATGGCCAACTCTACGTCTGCTTCTGCTGACCCTTCTTCCCTCTGGGTTCCAGTCTCCCTTTCCCGTTCTTGTCCGGAATTGTTACTGGGTGCTGGGCGTGGTAGATCACACATTGTAGCGGTTCTGGGCCATGTTCAGTTACTGTGAAGACTTGGTTTTAGGTCTTCTTGGGGCAGACCTATTCCATCTTTGCCCTTACTCCTAGGCATGGCCCCTACCGTCGGGCGAGAGTCTTTTTGGTCTCAGCCGAAAGCTTGGGGTGCTCTCTGAGGTCTCACAATGTTTCCCCAGGAATGTGTGAGCTGTGGTATCTCTTCTCAGTTATCAGCCTCTTAACAACTCTTTCCCCCCTTGGGCTTCCCATAGTCTCACCCTGGAATTGCATCTTCTCAGTAGTTCCCTACATTACTCTTTCCACCACCTCTTTCCAAATACCCGCAGTCTTAGCAACGCCTAAGTCTGCTCTCTGTTTCTTCCTTTCTCTGCTTGAACTCTCTCCCCAGTGTAGCAGTTTAAGAAATATCTTCGGGGAGAAAACCAGGATAAAAGTGGGATTCACCTTTCCTACTTTCTTTCCCTCGAGGGTCGTAGCCTGGAAATCTTTGCCACCTAATGCCTGCGAACAATTACTTTGTATATTTGTTCAGCTCTTGTAGTTGTTTCCAAAGAGAGCATCAATTCAATACTTGCTAGTGTACTATGATTGATCAATTTTTTAATTTAAGTAAAAGTGCTTGCGGCATTATAGGATTTCAATTATTCTGTCAAGCAGGTAGGAGGAGAGGTATGTGTGCAGCTGATGTGACAGAGGAACTTTATAGAGATTTATGAAGTTATTTACAGAGAATTGTCAACTGCATCATTATTTCTACAAAAACAAACGATCGTCTAAGACAACCACAGTTACAGGTTTCATTTGAACGTAATTTTTTTTTTGTGTGCTTAAAACCTTCACAATTTTATAAGACCCTTTTGTTCAAACAACACTTGTAAGATTTGATATATATTAAAAAAGAATGGGACAAATAGCTGTCAATAGTCACATAAATTTCCATATTGCATGGGAAATCAAGATTGATATTTTAAAATAGCAAAAGCTTTATCAAATTGCATCCTTCATCAGGTTTATAATGCTACAGAAACATTTGTCTTCCGGAGCTCCAGGGGAGAAGACAGTCCTTCAGCTCCTTTCTTCAGATGCTTTGCTTGATTGCGAAGTTATGTGCTTTTAGAGCCAGACTCTGAGATTTCATTTCTTTAAAACACTTCATTTATTAGTGTTATAAGCAAAAATCAGGTTGGCAGAGCTCAGATTTCCTTGGAGAAATGACTGAAGATTTTAATTTAATGACAGTGAGTTAACTAGGCATGGAGTATTTTTCCTCTATCATGATAAGATGGGCTTTTGTGATTACTGTATATCTTCCCTTGCTCCCGAAGGCACTGAGCATCATCAGATCGATCTTCATGATCCTTCCTGGGACTGTGAAAGTGAAGCCCTGTGGACGACACACTGGAATGAACTACAGCCTAAGTCACCAAATCATTAACCAGAACACATTCTACTGCTTCACTTTCAGGGAAAAAAAAAGAAGCAAATGATACCAAGGCAAGCGCCGAACAGGGACCTCATCGTCAGATGTGTACGGATGAAAATACAGGTACGAATGAACCTCTTATACTCTTTTAGATCTGTGTCTAGAATATTGTATAATGATTACTGGTTCTGAAAGTTCAAGCAGAGTGCAGAATCAAAAAAAGTCTGAGCAATCAAACTTTTAATAAGAACACTTTTTAAAAACTATTCCAGGTGTTTCATAATATTCTGGGTTTTAGGAGTAGAAAATTGTAAGAAAAGAAATCAGGTCTGTGCATTAGAGACACTAGGACCTAGGCCACCTCTTGTCTGCCACCTTTATTAAATCCACCACTACTATACACTGTCTTATTAATCCATTGTCACACTGCGGAATTCGCCATTACTCGAAACTACCTCATTTCTGATTCAAATAGTGCAAACACGTAGGATCTCATTCATGACCTTCCTTCCTTCCCACTGGCTTCATTAACCACCCCCTACAACTGTTCTTCCACTAGGTCCTTCCAGTTGACTTGCCCCTCCACCTCCCCATTCCTTTATGAATCCATTCACCTACCCATTTATCTGCACCTGTTTCTACCTTCTATTTTCTTCCCATTACGGATAGATTCTAGGAATCAATTCAATTACTTTCTAGCAAATTCTCTGGCGAATCCCAACCCGAGGTGAACTGGCCTGTCTTCCCCATGTCTGCACCCGGGCTGCGGAGTACAATGGGAGAAAAGCACAGTGGGGGAGATGAGTCCCTCTACACATTCGTGGTCAGGGATCTCAACAAAGCTGTTAAAAGTCCTCGGCAGCTTGGTCTGCAAACTTCTGCAAAGCATTCTATTCTCCCAACTTCAACTCTCATTGTCAACTGACACCCTCATCTGTCCCTTCGCTGGAAAAGCGAAAGCTCTTACGTGGGAACGTCATTCAGCCAGCTGGTTCCCCTCTTCCTACAAAGACCAACTCTTCACCATGGGCTCTACATTCCAACTCCTCAGTTTTCTTCAAGAATACCAATTGTTTCCGCTTTCTGATTTTATTTCAGTCTTTTTCTGTCTACTAGATCTTTCCCATAAGCTCTTATGCATGCTCTAATTATAACAAAACAACAAATCAAGAAACCGACCAATCGCCTGTCTGCCACCCTCAATAACAATGGCAGCTCTAGAAACCGCTGACTTCTCCAGTTGCCGTGACCCCCTCCCCTTCATTCTCAAACTTTGGGCCTGTGCTGAGTGTCGCTTCTCCTAATCCTCAGCCCCTATATCCTCCGCAAACCCTCCAATCTTAATTTCTGTTTTAAACATTCCTTGGAAGCACTTCTTGTGAAAGTCACTAATTATTTTCATGTCATGTAATCTGATATACTCTTTATAGCCTCCGGTCATGTAAGCTCTCAGAATCCCTCTACAAAGCGGAACACCCCCTCCTTCGAAACACTCCTTCCCTTTGGCTCCTGAGTTTCGTACTGTCCAGTTTCCCTCCTCTCTCTCACCTCTTCTCTTCACCCTTCGGCTGTCACTTCTCCCCTAACCTGTAAGCGTGGGCACGCCCCAGGGCACCATCGTACCCTCTTCTCACCCTGCATTCTGCCACCCAGATGTTTCCATCCATCCCCGTGGCTTCAATTGCCGCCTGTCCTCCAACAACTTTCAAACTCTGTCTCCCGCCCGGACTTCTGCTCTGAACTTTCCGCTCAACAACTCCATCTTGTTGCCCCTCTGACTCCTCAACACGAGCACATCTAAACCTGAACTCATGATGGTGCTTCATGCCCTGAGCCTTCTCTTATAGTAGATGCTTCCCCGACCCACCTGGGTGCTTCAACCATGTGCCTTGGAGCTACCCTGGACTCCTCCTCTTGTATTTTGAATAGAGGAATAATTTCAATATAATATGGTAAATATCAAGATGGAGGCATATAAATTACAAAATGGAACAAAGATAAGGGGCATTTCATCCAACTGAGGAAGTCTACAAGTGTAACTGACATAGGGGGCTCAGAGGGTAGCCTTGGACATGAAATTCATGGAAAGCAGGTGGGCAACAATGCAGTGCTTATTATAGTTGGTTCCCGGCCTTACCCACTGCTAAGACCGCAGGCCACATGAACACTTAAGTTTTTCTATAAGCAAATGCAAGTCCAGAAGATTGGTTGCCTTCTTCAGCCAGGAAAAATTATGGGGGAGGATTTGTTTTACTTTCATATTGTACATTCGAAATGCCATCATTTTTATAGAGAAGGAGAAGCACAGTTCTTATTTTTTTTAAATCACAAACAGATTAAGAAAGGTACATACTTATAAAACTAAGCACACCTTGACAAAATAATGTTTTCTACAGAGAGAGAGAGAGAGAGAGACCACTTTATGTTAAAATTGGAATTCTTAAAATAACCTTGCTGGGAATCTGACATAAGTCAGACTAGTCTTCCATGACACCCCAGGACACAGAAGCACCTCTGGATTTTCAAAGACACTCGATTCGTGGTGGAGGGCACAGCAGACCTCTGGGGCTCAGACAGAAGCCCCTCTCTCCCAGAGTTCAGGCTGGGATCACAGACATGCAGCCACACACAGGGCGATGTCCACCAGTGGAAGTATGTGAGGATTACAGAGATAGCCCAAAGGCGGGGTGTGCCCTTTAACGAGGGGAGACCTTAGCTAGGTTGTTTAGGATGAATAGGAGTTCACCACACGAACAGAATGGGGAAAGGCATTCCGGGGGAAGGGAACAGTGTGTTCAAAGGTGCATCTTTGGATCATACATAGAATGTTGCTGATCTACATCAGTGAGGGGTGGTGGTAGGAGATAAAGGGGTAAGGTGGACGGGTGAGTCTTGTGCACGGTATTAACTAAGAAGCAAGGACTTTGCTCCATAACCAGGAAGAGCCTCTGAAATTTTTGAGTGAGGGAAATGAAAATCAAGGAGGCAGACTGATGCCTTTGGTTGCTTGTTCTGGACCCATTTGCCCCATGTGTAGAAAATCATGGACTTATTTATCCATACACAATTCTAGTGTAAATTCCTATGTTTGTGGGTAAAACAATGTATTGTATAATTTTAGATGTAACAAAAAACAATGTCATTATTAAAATTGCATTTGGAAAATTGCTTTTCTTCTTACATGTTTATCTGGCTTCACTATACTAAGCACAGGTTTTACTCCTAAAATATTTGCTAAGTATATTGTCTGTGTGCTAAGGGTGCCAACCTGGGGTCACACTTGTTCCCCTCCTAGAGCAGCCAGGGTCAGGCAGCATTCGTTGGATCAGAAAGGGCTTTGCACAAGTCCCTGAGGCAGTCGTCGGTGGGCCATGTGGCCTTAGGATTGCTTTACTCTGTCCTTGTTTTACTCTGTCCTTTCTTTACTCCGTCCAGAGAAAAGAAAGCCACGAAGCTTTGTATCGTCTCCCAGGCAGGTGGTTAACTCCAAGACAATCAGAGCCCCACGATGCTGTGTGTTTTCGCAGCCTCCGTAGGTCCTCAGATCAGTACTGGGTTTTGGCAAGAGACTGCTCTCTGGGAAAAAGCACTCCATGAAAAACAAACATCTGTATGGCATTTACCCAGAACTGCCCCCTCCCCCCCTCCCCCCGCCAAAGAATCTATGTTCACTGTACAAATCTGTAAACATTTCGGTTGCCAAGGACACCCATGGATAAACAAGGATAAATAGATAAAGCCGTCCTCCCAGACTGCATTGGTAGTTACGAACTTTACTTCCCACATGTATTTTTGCTGCGCTGGACTCCAACACGGCTCCCCGCCACCGTCTTCTACTGTGTAAATCTCCAGCCAGCCAGAGGAGAGCATTAGCTCCGGCCTGAGAGGCTTTAGAAGCCTGTCAAGGACTCTAAGGGGGGGTGGTGAATGTGAAATGAATTTACTCTGTAGTGATAATGCTTTTCAGAGCAGAGGAGTTGGGGTTGAATGGCCCCAGGGAAGGTGTGGTCAGTGAAATAGTCCTGGGCCTGAAATGGACCCTTCGAACCACCAATTTTGATCCCAGAAGCAGCTCTTGGACAGGACCCCTGGGGTGCACTCCTCACTTGCAGGAAGCCATGGGCATCCTTCTGACAGCCCAGGGCTCACAGCCTGGGACAGTTCATTGAGCTCAGCTCCAGCCCAGTCCTGGTTTGCTGAATGTTCCTGACTGCTGCTCCCCTCCCAAGCACTCTGATTGGCCGCTTTTTCCCTTTCTTCCCTCTCAAGCACTCTGATTGGCCGCTTTTTCCCTTTCTTTGTTACCCGTCCCCCTTTATTGGGCCAACTAGAATGGGCATGAATTGACATTTTTTTGCCATTATTTTTCTTTCCTTTAATCTTACAGAGCTAAGCATATTGGTATATGATTACTGGCTTTCAAAGATTTGTTCTTACACCTGCTATTAGAAAACCACATAGTGTCAAGGTTAGGAATGCAGACTAGTCTACCCTGATGGAGATCTTGGGGCCCCCACTTACTAGCTGCAGTCCTCCGATTTCTCTTTTGCAAAATCGGGCTCTTGTGAGGTTGTGAAGATTAAATGAATTAAATATATAAAGTCCTTGAATTGTGCTTGGCTTGTATCTCCTGATATGTATTTGCTGTTATTATTCTTACTGGGGACTTGGGTCTATTCTCATTTTGTCTCTCTTTTGAGTAGCTCATCTATTTTCCATTTAAAAAGTGCCCCCTCTGTTATAAATCATGCAAGTGTGTACACTTGAGTCTGTATACACTTCTGAGATGTTATTCTGTCCCATCGATCTGTCTGGTCCATCTCCTAGCCAGTCCTCTACTGTTTTAATTAGTATAGTTTATGACGAGTGAGCACGTGTACCTGGTAGGACAAGACCTTATTCTCCCTCAAAAGCCTTGGTTCATTTTGGTCCTTTACACTTTCGTAAGAAGTATGGGATCATCTAATCAATTACCTGAAAATATGATATTTGAGTACATGAAACACAGAGTTTATCCTTATATTATTATTTATTAATTATTGTATTATTTTCCATCCGAACAACTGTAAACCTACTTTTGCCCTTCCCTGTATGTATCTAAGAACAAAAACACAGCGATAACT